CCTACAACTTGGAAAATGAAAAATTTATTGCAAGTGATAACTATATGGCAAACTGCGTTTCGCACTTTCAAAATGAAATAAAATTTTATGATTATTGCTTACTTGTTTGTTTTGTAAATAGAATAAATTTTTCTTCACAATCATGTATATTTTTTATAGATAAAATTGAATTTGTGATATAAAATAAAATGTATCCTTGCATTTTATCAACCTTATACATTATATAATAATTTAATAAAAAGATGCAATTATTTTTTAGATACTATTTAATGTTTTAAATGAATTGCCTTGATTGCATCTCTTCACTTGTAGGTAAAAATCTACATATTAGTGTTACTGTTTTAATACTTTGTATACATATCAATGGTAATTTCAACATTTTCATTAAATGAAGTAAATAAAGTAACAAAACGTAAAAAAATAAAAGAAAAATGTTCAATGAAATTAAAAATCAGCTTGGTATATTAATATCTATGTTTCAACTTTTTGGATAAATCGATTAAAATATAATCAATTTATTTGAGATGCAGTAAATAATTTTGGGTAACAATGAAGATTAAATTTTTAATAGTATTTTATTTCTTAATAAATTTAAACAACAATCTATAGATGAATCTGGAACTAGAATAAAGTTCACATTACAAGTCTAATTCTTTTAGTTGTAATTTACAATCAACAATTGCAATAGTATTTATTTCCACTGGATGTTTCAAAATATATTTTGAGAATGATTTATTCCCAACATTAAATTATTCATCATAACTAAAAAAATGCATACATAATGTTTATTTATTTATCATTCCCATAATATGTTAAGTGTCATATATATAACAACATGTAAATCATTATGCATTTAATTACTACACCAGTAGATTGACCCTGACATTCATTTCAATAATAAATGTTGCAATATAATTTAAAACAGTCTTAATGAATATATTATTCATCTTGTTGACATCATTGAGAAAACCATCCATCTGAATTAAATCATTAATATGGATTTCGAAGAATTGATTGAAAGTCTATTGTACGTCATTTTGCATTCCATTGGGATTGAATTTTAATCAAAGATAATAGATGTTGAAGAACAGTTTCTTTTAAAATTGTTATTATTATTCATGATTTTTATCCCACGTAGGTACTGGGTTGTTTAGTGTCTTAAAACATTATAAAAACTGTGATTGATTTTATGAATTAATCATTTGACAAATTAAGTTTGTATAATTTAAATAATTAATCAAAGCAAAAATTTATAAAAAAGTTTTTATTAATATAATTCAAGCGACTAATTATAGATACATACCGATAATCAAAAAATATTCTATTTTATTTATTTCACCTTTATGACATTATTATATGATTAGGTTGTTTCTTTTTAATTTTATACTGTATAATGAAATTAATTGCTAATATTAATGAACAGCTTGTAAAAATATGATTCTTGGTATATATTTTTAAACCTATTATTTTTTTTAAACCTTGATCTAGTTGGTAGATTTTTAATTTATGCACAGTAATTTATCAACAATTAATTATTGATTTTAAATATACGAAAATTAATAAGTTAATATTATTTAAAATATAACAAAATTTACTAGGCTCACCATAAACCTTTTGCGTGGATGATATCTAAAATAAGTGTTAGTGTTCAAACTTTTTATTCAATACATCTGCTATAACTTGATAATTTTTATTTTATTTCAAACTGATCAGAATCGTGATTCAGATCATTTAATCGATAGGTAATTTGGTTTTATAATTAATTAACATCTTTTGTTTAAAAGTTAATTGTCAAGACATAAGTGGACATCATGTGTCCACTATTATTTAATAAACTCAATTTATCTAACAAGGAAAACCTCATATTTACTCATCTGGGATTTTGATAAAACAGAGCTTGTTGTTAAAATATTAAAATTGATTAAAGTTGCAAAAAATAGACATGTCTACCTCCTACCGATATGTCTCTATAGCTATATTAGTTAAAACACTTGCTTCTACTTTTTGCATTCAAATTAATATATAAGAGAGGTAAAAATAATCGGGTTCAAATCCCGTCAGTTATTATTTTATTTTTGATTTTTTTAAACTTATTTTTATGTTTTATGCGAATTTCTGACTAAAAGTTGATGCAAATTTTGCCTTTTCATTATTCATCAAGTTACAGATATCTCAAAACTACTTCAAAAGTTAACAGTTTATGCTAAAGATATATGAAATTATTACATCACATTAGGGATAATAACGAGGAGCCAATTCTGTGGTAACATAGCTGATAACATGGCTTTGCTATCTTATCCTACTTTCTTGGTGCTATAAACTGGGAAAATGATACCAATTTACTATACCAACAGGCATATTTTACATATAAACAAACCTAGAAAGAATGTTGCACATCAAATTGATAACATTTTTACAGTTTTTAGTACCAAGAGATATGTATAACAAAGCGTTGCCATTACAACGTTATGTTAGGGGGCGTCCATTAATCACATAATCGAATTTTTAAGTACTTTTGGACTCTCCCTCCCCTTTAGTGATACGTCCTCCATCTCCCGCCAAACATCACGTGAGAATTTAGTTACGAGAAAAAATGAAAATTTTTTATATTTTTTTTTTTTGAAAATGTTTAGATTTAAAAAAAGTTCAGGTAAACAAGAAATACACGTGATATCTCTCTATACCTCTCCCTTCCCCACGTAATATCTCTTGATTTTTTGTCAAACCTTTCCCTCCCCCTTAAAAACTTCACGTGATTAATGAACGTCCCCTTACCACAAAATTGGCGCCTGAGTCTATGGTTATGTACAAATAACGTTATCTTAATCCGAATAATTTAAATTAAAATCATATTTTTTCAGTCCAGTTTCTGACCATAAATATTCAAATCTAATCTTCCAATCGACTTAATCGTTTACTAATTTGTAGATTCTAAAGAGATCCATTACTCTATTACTCCGCGACTCCGTGACGCCGCATAACCGAATACAGTTATAAAGATTATTTCTAATTGATTAGTCATTCTCTCAATTAGCAAACACTTGTTCATAGCTTGACTTGTGCACATCGTCGCATTATCGATTTTTTTATTTCGTTAAATGGAAATAAACGTATCGATATTTCCTTGGGATGAGACAGATATTATGCAACCTCCAAGGAGTTGCGTAAAACCACTTATTCGGCGTAGTTGTGTTGTTCGACGACCTTAAAAATCGGGCCGAAGAAACCCGCGGGCATCGATAACATGTGATGTATGTATTTATTTTAACTTACCTTTGCGTGATCGTTTATTATAAAAACATTAATCACTAGTAATCAAACTAATTCGTAGAATTACCGAGAACTCAACACTTTTACTGGAGTGAATTATGGAATTATCCTTTATGCACGGTTTCATCCATAAACCATTGTTCTTGGAAACACTGTAAAATCTCGATAAGATGACATTCCAGTTACAAAAGCGTATTATGCGGGAAATATTATTGAGCTTAATCGTCTTAACGGAGTTCTACTATGTATATACGATAATATATAAATGAAATATGTTCTTGGAAATACTGTAAAATCTCGATTAAATGACATTCCAGTTACTGGAGCGTATTATGCGGGAAATTTCATGACGCTCAATCGTCTTAACGGAGTGTATTTTATTTGTAATTTTCTGAAATTGCTTTTAAGAAAAAACATAGAATAATGAACTTATTAAAACGGACTATTATCACTTAATATAATATTTAATATTGAACTTGAACCAGTTATAAATTACTTATTAATTTGTGGCTAATTACATCCAAACTAAGTTAAAAAAGTCGAGAAAATATTAAAATATAAATGAACAAAAACAATAATTTGAAAGAATAACAATATCTATTAAATTGATTTACAATATGGAGCATTTATATTATGTACACATGAATTAGATTGGGATTGATTAATTTAATTAAAATTATTTTCACAAAGATTTTGTTATAATCTTAATACAAATTTAATACTGTATTTTTTATTTTGCGACACATAATGCACTTTACTTCAACGTTAAAACAATCTTCTCAGTACAGGTTGCAAGTAGTTGATATTTCAATTTTTACACAACAGCTCAACTCTTACGTAACTACATATTTAAATCATTACCAAAGATCACATACGCAATTATGCCTCAAAGAGAGTTCTTTTCAGATCAAGTCACATCTGTTTTTTTAATCCATATAAATCGATTTAGCAACTGTATTCTTGACCGATTTTATTCTTATTTGAAACTATTGAAATTGTAATAATAATAAGCCATACGTAATATATAAAATATAATAATAGATGTAGGAGTAACATTCATATGAACTAATTTTGATAAAATTGATCAAAAAAAATAAATGGGCATATCTTCATACATAGTTGTGTTTGTACATTTTGGAGTTGTAATGATATATTAAAATTATCTTTATAATTTTTAACTCAAAATCAAAATTTATCTTTTTGCACATAACTTTTTCAGATTATTGCAGATATTATTCCTTTATTGCCAAATGCATAATATCAATAACTTATATCTTTAAATTAGTTATAAACGTAAAATTTTAAATATTTTGATTGTAGTTATGTGATTACGACATTTAGCGTATACGATTTAGCGACATTTAAAATCTATCAACAAATCTTATTTATTCAATTATTGCTTTTTTGATAATGATTTTGATATAAAAATATATAATAGATGGGAAAATGAAATATTTGTAATGTAAAATTTGTATATGCTCGACGGCTAAAATCTATTTGCATATTGAACGAATTAAGTAAAATTCGATTAAACCTTAAATTTTTATTTATAATATGATATAATTTTGTTCTTGCAGATATGAATCGAAACAAATTATTTATATTAGAACAATATCATTGTAATAATCTCAAAGCTCTCAAAAGTCTTCTCAATCTTTGGTATATTGGGATATTGAGACTTTGCTCCGATGATTTTTATTTAGTACATATTATATTATATTTCTTACTATATGCCCATTAGGGTGAGCCTTAATATGGATATTTTCGAATATCTTTGCTCTCAGAAGCTTAAATGCTTCCAAATTGAGAATAAAAAAAAACTCTGAAAGTTTTAGCTCTAAATATTAACTTTAAGATAGACGGCACTTCAAACCAATTTTCTTATGGAAATAACATGTGTAAAATTATATTTGTTTTTTAGAATTTTATCTTTAGCGACAAGCGAATCAAAAGTAACAATTTTGTTAGAGTGAAGCCCTAAAAGCAAAAATCTTCTATAAAATCCATTTTAAGTATCACTAATGTCCATATTTCTATTCTACGTACAATGTATAAATACATTTTTGAATAAATTTTTGCAATAAATTATGGCACATGTGGTATATATTATTTTCCTTAAAACATTATATTTGGAGTCATATAAGAGACTTCACTATTTAGCAACAAAAATTAAACAAATATTTGGTTTTATAAATGATGACTAACTATAAGTAATTTGCATCCGCAAGTAACAATATTTAAGGTGTATATATTAATATTATTTTTCTCTCACGTGTTCTTTATTTTAAAGTACGTCGACCGCATCAAACACATCAATTCCGCGAACTCGCAAAAAATAATCCTAAGAATTTTCATTTCAAAATATTTCTATTACCATTCCACCAGTAGCGAATAGATCAATTCCAAACCTTTCACAAAACGTCCGAGGTGTCGTCCTTGAAAAGCATCCGTGAATCAAACGAAGACACGCGTTGAAGATATGTGGGCGGCCGCGACACGGCCAAAAGTCGATGATACCCCCGGGCCAAAACCTAAAATTTATGCACGTGAGATGATATAATAGATGCTCCTGTTGTCCATAAAACGCCTCTCTAACAAACAAACATTTTTTATTATGTGATACGAATTCACGAAATGAGCGAAAAAAATTAATGGACGACCTTGTTTGCATAAACTTATTTAGAGTGATAGATTTATCACTTGGAGAACCGTGTACAGAAATTAAAACAATGAAATAATAAATTTTAAATAATTAGTATTCTTATATAATGAGATCAGATTTTATTATGCTTTAGAATGGTATCACTGTTAAACAGATTAATACGTTTTTAATTAAATGTATTAACATTTATTTTTATCTTATAGTACTATGTTTCCCAAAACATAAATTTTCTTTATGTTTGTTTCTGAGTTATTTTAATTTTTTTTTAATCTTTCAATAATATCACTTTTAATTTCTATAGAGATTTCTATTTAAATAATATTATTTATCATATTGTATTTTGTTGATAAGTTTTTATTAAAGCAACGTGTCTATAAAGCAAAATCAACTAATCAAAATAAACATAAATTATATACACTAAATATTTTTAACCTTACAGATTTCATTCTTACTTAATTTTAATGTAAAGAATATATATTAAATTTAGATTAATAATTTAGGAAAACCTAACAAATTTGATTGGATTTTACTTATAGAAGTCCACCATTTGTCTGCTAGTACTTCTCGCGGTCTCCAGCTCATTTGCTGAGTTCGATGTGAAGAACCGAGTTGTACGTGATATATCTCTAGTATCATATGGAAATAATGCAGGTTTCGATGGATATTCGTATCCTAAACCATCTATTCCTTTCCCAGCACCTGCTCCTAAATCTCCTGGATACTCTTACCCCAAACCAAGTGTCCCATTTGTTGAGGTAAGACAACAACCACAAACCAGACCACCACCACCACCACCTCCGACACCTAGGCCATATGTGCCTCCTCCACCACCACCTAAGCCATATATTCCACCAGCACCACCATCAGGTGGATACTCATATCCAAAACCAGTTGTTCCCTTCCCTGTTCCAGAAGTAAGAACAACACAAAGACCAGTTACAAGGCCGCCGCCGCCTCCACCAAGGCCATACATTCCTCCAGCACCTGCACCAAAACCTGATGGTTATTCTTATCCAAAACCAGTTGTACCGTTCCCAGTACCTGAAGTTAGAACAACGCAGAGACCAGTCACAAGGCCTCCACCACCACCGCCAACACCAAGACCATACGTGCCACCACCTCCACCACCAAAGCCATATATTCCACCAGCACCAGCACCGAAACCTGATGGTTATTCGTATCCAAAACCTGTTGTACCATTTCCAGTACCAGAAGTGAGGACAACACAAAGACCAGTAACGAGGCCACCACCTCCGCCGCCAACACCAAGACCATACGTGCCACCACCTCCACCACCAAAGCCGTATATTCCACCAGCACCAGCACCAAAACCTGATGGTTATTCATACCCAAAACCAGTTGTACCGTTTCCAGTTCCTGAAGTAAGAACCACGCAACGACCAGTGACAAGGCCGCCACCACCACCACCAAAACCATATATACCACCAGCACCGGCACCGCAACCAGGATATTCATATCCAAAACCAGTAGTTCCATTTCCAGTACCAGAAGTGAGAACAACTCAGAGACCAGTGACCAGACCACCGCCACCACCGCCACCGCCAAAACCGTACATTCCACCAGCACCAAAGCCTGATGGTTATTCTTATCCTAAACCCGTTGTTCCATTTCCAGTTCCTGAAGTAAGAACAACCCAGAGGCCAGTAACAAGACCACCACCACCACCACCAACGCCAAAACCCTATGTTCCACCACCACCACCACCTAAACCTTATATTCCACCTGCACCTGCACCAAAGCCCGACGGTTATTCATATCCAAAACCCGTTGTTCCATTCCCTGTACCTGAAGTAAGAACAACACAAAGACCTGTGACAAGACCACCCACCGCCGCCGCCAACGCCAAAGCCATACGTGCCACCGCCACCACCACCAAAGCCATACATTCCACCAGCACCAGCACCAAAACCTGATGGTTATTCTTATCCAAAACCAGTAGTTCCATTTCCAATTCCGGAAGTAAGAACGACACAGAGGCCAGTAACCAGACCGCCACCACCACCACCAAAACCATATATACCACCAGCACCGGCACCGCAACCAGGATATTCATATCCAAAACCAGTAGTTCCATTTCCAGTACCAGAAGTAAGAACAACTCAGCGCCCACAAACTAGGCCGCCACCACCACCACCAACTCCGAGACCATATGTACCTCCACCTCCACCACCAAAACCATATATACCACCTGCACCTGCACCAAAACCTGATGGATACAATTATCCGAAACCTGCAATTCCATTTCCGGAAGTAAGGACGACACAAAGGCCTCAAACTCAGAGACCATATGTGCCACCACCACCACCACCAAAGCCTTATATTCCACCAGCGGCACCATCAGGCGGATACTCGTATCCGAAGCCAAGTATACCATTTGAGGTAAGGACTACACAAAAACCACAAACACAAACACCCTACAAACCTTATTCACCACCTAAGCCCAATCCACCTCCTTCTCCACCAAAACCTTATTTACCACCGGTTGTTCAGAAGCCTTCAGTTCCGGTTATTGTAGATCTGAGGACAACATCCAGACCTGTTACTAGACCGCCGCCACCTCCAACTACGAGCAAACCAGTATATTTACCGCCAGCCACAACTCAGCGTCCTGTAACCAGGCCGCCACCACCACCAACGTACTTACCGCCACAGCCAAAAACAACAAGGCCACCGCCACCACCAACCACGAGTGCTCCTACATATTTGCCGCCAAAAACAACACAAAGACCAGTGACGAGGCCGCCACCACCACCTCAACCAAGAACAACGCAAAAACCAGTAACAAGACCAACGCCGGGGCCTACTTATTTGCCTCCTCAACCAAGAACTACACAAAAGCCAGTGACAAGGCCACCACCGCCACCCACATATTTACCACCACAGCCTAGGACGACTCAAAAACCAGTAACAAGGCCAACACCTCCACCACAACCAATAACCACGCAAAAACCAGTAACTAGACCTACTCCAGGGCCAACATATTTACCGCCACAGCCGAGGACAACGCAAAAGCCAGTTACAAGACCTCCTCCACCACCAACGTATTTGCCGCCTCAACCAAGGACTACACAAAAACCAGTTACGAGACCACCGCCACCTCCAACTTATTTGCCACCTCAGCCAAGAACAACGCAGAAGCCAGTAACAAGGCCACCACCACCACCAACGTATCTGCCACCACAGCCTAAGACAACTCAAAAACCGGTAACTAGACCGCCGCCACCGCCAACTTATTTACCTCCTCAGCCAAGGACAACGCAAAAACCAGTACCTAGGCCTACACCTGGTCCAACCTACTTGCCGCCTCAGCCAAGAACTACACAGAAACCTGTGACAAGACCACCGCCACCACCGCAGCCGAGGACAACACCAAAACCTGTAACAAGGCCACCGCCACCGCCAACTTATCTACCGCCCCAACCAAAAACAACTCAGAAGCCAGTAACGAGACCAACGCCGCCGCCGACCTATTTACCACCACAGCCGAGAACTACACAGAAGCCAGTGACCAGGCCACCTCCGCCGCCGACAACCCAAAAGCCAATAACAAGACCAACACCGGGTCCTACTTATTTGCCACCACAACCAAGGACTACACAAAAACCAGTAACACGTCCACCACCACCACCAACATACTTACCACCTCAGCCAAAGACAACACAAAAACCAGTAACCAGGCCACCGCCACCTCCAACTTATTTGCCACCTCAGCCAAGAACTACGCAGAAACCAGTAACTAGAGCAACACCACCACCTACTTATTTGCCGCCTCAGCCAAGGACAACGCAAAAACCAGTGACAAGGCCACCACCACCACCAACATATCTGCCACCTCAACCTAAAACAACTCAAAAACCGGTGACAAGGCCACCACCACCACCTACTTATTTGCCTCCTCAGCCAAGAACAACGCAAAAACCGGTAACTAGGGCAACACCAGGTCCAACATATTTACCACCACAGCCAAGGACGACACAAAAACCAGTAACACGTCCACCACCGCCACCACCTCAGCCAAGAACAACGCAAAAGCCAGTAACTAGGCCACCACCACCACCAACCTATTTGCCTCCTCAGCCAAGAACAACGCAAAAGCCAGTAACTAGGCCACCACCACCACCAACTTATTTGCCGCCACAGCCGAGGACTACGCAAAAACCAGTGACAAGGCCACCACCACCACCAACTTATTTGCCACCACAGCCGAGGACAACGCAAAAGCCGGTGACGCGGCCACCACCACCACCAACTTATTTGCCACCACAGCCGAGCACTACGCAAAAACCAGTGACAAGGCCACCACCACCACCAACTTATTTGCCACCACAGCCGAGGACTACGCAAAAGCCGGTGACGCGACCACCACCACCACCCACTTATTTGCCTCCGCAGCCAAGAACAACTCAGAAGCCAGTAACAAGGCCACCACCACCACCAACTACTAAGGCACCTGAATACTTGCCACCAGTTACGACTCAGCGCCCTGTAACTAGACCGCCACCAACAACTAGGCGACCATCAACACCAGGAGCTCCATATTTACCACCAGCGCCTGGTCAATCAGGATATTCTTATGCGCAACCAGGATTTGTTTTCTAAATGAAAACTTATTGATGAAATGTATATAATGTGAACTACGCTCTCTATTTTTAAGATGAAATGTTGCATTTATGTAGGTTGTTCAATTTTTATATCCTATTGTATTTAGTTATAGATGTATTTATAGTTACTTGGAAGAGTCAATATAACAGTGCCATAAAACTTAGTAATAAATAGCTACTTAAGTATAAAATTCAGAACGCTAAAATGTGTATACTGAAAGTCATCATAGTCTGTGACAGTAAGTACGATTTAATGTTACAAAAAACTATTTTTTACAAAAGTGTTAATTTTATATATAAATACAATAAATTACTGTACTTATTTCTATTATGTTAGTTTTAATCAATATAAGAACGCATTGTTTTATTTTGAATGTTACTTTCCTTTTAGCTTTCATCGTTTTTATAAATAAATTGTTTTCTGAATGTCGCTGTATAACAACTAGAAGACTTCTTGATTTGCACGAAGTGTCTTGTTTTGCACGCTTCGCTAAGTAAGTAGAGTCAAGTTTAAAATATACTTGAAAAAATAGTCAAAAGGCTTAAAAAGAAATATTTTTTATTACCATAAAATTTATAAATTTCGTCGTTGGCTTGGTCTTAGAATTTTGTGTTATTTTTGGGATTTATTTATTGTTGAATATATATCATTAGATATAATAAACAGGACACATATTATTGAGGTACTGAAAAGTTGTCGTCCATGTTCTGAACCTAAGTTTCATCGAGATTTTCGGGCGCTATTTTACCTAAGATTATGAATCATTATTTTATATTCTTACAATTATTTGAAACAGCATTTCTATATCATAGTCTAAAAACTGAACTTAAAGAACAATACATATCGCACCAGTGACAACTTTTCTCGATTTCCATCCGAACAATTCACGACGTGTTTCGTTACGGTCATATATAATGACTGTAATTACATAGCGGTGTACGGATTCTTGTTAAAACAAAATTATGGAATTAATTCAGTTCACACTTGTGATTGTGAGTGAAAACATGGAATAAATCGCAAAATATACGAAAAATTTCCAAACAATGTCAAGTGAGACCAGTTCAAAGGCTTGTTGGAGTTCTCAATTTGGTCTATATCGATATCCAAGGAATTCCAGTTTTGATACATGTATTATGAATAACATGAGAATTAAAGGACTTATTGGAGTAACAGTGTTTTTAATTCTATCTTTATTTATAATTGTGGTAAGTGAAATTTTATGTACATATAATAAAATATAAAATTCATATGTGTAAAATATAATTCATTGTAGTTCAAATCAAATTATATTGGAATATTTTTGAGAATCTAAAATTACTCAGCACAGTCTAGAAAATGTTGCGAATATTTTTTTTTGCAACACATTATTGCTTGCACATAGAATTATTTCTATTTGATTTTTATTTAACTTATTTACCATATGTGACCCAATTTCAGATTTGGTCATTTATATTTACGTCAAGTGACGGTGTAATATCATCTGAATTAGAATCAAACTTAACATCACGAACATCACAATCAAACAATTCCATTGATTTTGATTCGCAATTGCCACTTAATAAAGAATCAAAATTTTTCGACGATCACAATTATGATGAAGCTGATACTAATTCAGAAGCAAAATCTAAAGATACATCAAGTTTTGAAGGAGAGCAGTTTTCAGCTGAATTGCGAGATATTCCAGGTGTAATATCACGACCTCCAACTCTAATAACTCGTCGTCATATAGACATCGATAATCCAAAATTGCAATACATGTGGTCAGGCACTAAACCAACAGGTTTTCGTAAATCAAATAGAAAAATGATACAAGATAATATTCAGGATATTATTAATAATTTGTCCGACGATGAGGATCACCAGACCGAAAGTAGCCATGCAGTTAGTAGGAAAGCTTATAAAATATCAGGGATTTATAAAATTCCTAAAATACGCAAAAAATATGAAGAAACTAACTTTGGCGTTCTAAGAGCTGATGATCAACAAGACAGATATATATCACCGTTATATACATTGCGAACAGTTAGTCCTTTGGAAGTGAATTGGATGGCTACGAGATCTTCTCAACCCTTTGTATTACAAAATGTACATTTGGATCGTATGAATACTCAAATAGGAAGTCCAATAAATTATGATCTACGGCATGTGTATCAAAATAAACAAAACGTGAGATCTTTTCTAGGTGCTGATCAAACCAAACCAAAAGTCCCAATGAGACTTATGTTAGATATAATACCTGAACCTGATGACCAAGAGTTTAGAAGTATCAAATCAGGCAATTTAGTACCAAAAGTACAAAATTATCAGAATATCAACGGCGTAATTCCTTATACAGCAAGATCTGCGCAACAACAACCACAAGTGACTGGATATCAATTTCACAACATAAATCAGAACCAGCTCTATCATCGTCTTCAGAACGATTATTATAATATGTATTATAAAAATAAATATTTCCAGAAAAATCAAGCTCAGAATTATGGTCGCCCTTATTATATAAAAGTACCTAAGGAGGATAAAAATGCAGAGCCGATGAAAGCTAACAGAATGGTTATACATTTAGATTTAATTCCTGAAGATAAAAATTAAAATAATATAAATTTTAATATATAGTTTTAAATGTTTGTTTTAATATTTTATTCAATTAAATATATTTGTTATGAATAATTAATTTAAATTTATTTTTTTATATTATATAAGTAAATTTGTAGTACCTACTTAAATACATAATAATAAATAAATAAATTTACAAAATGTGTTTGCAACTCGATTTTAATCATTATGAAAATGTCATTATAATTTAATTATGAATAAAGAGTACTAATTGTTTTCAACTCTTACGTTTCTTTGATTACATTTTGCAATCTATTGATAACAAAATATTTTTAAAAGTATTGAAGACGCCATTGGCTTTCAAAAGATAAAATTCACTTTAATATTTATTATATATTAAACATTCACTTGAAGCTGCACAAATTTTATTTTCAAACTTAATATTGGCAAAAGTAATATTTGAGCATCAAATCAATTTTATTTAATTGATTCCTTGGGAACAAATTTACAATTATTACGATAAATTTTTTAACTATTTAGTTTATAATGATTTTGTCAAAAGTCAATATATATTTTTCATAATATCTATAAAATATATATATATATATATATATATATATATACAATTCATATTTTTTATTATATACGGATATAAAGTAATTTCAACGCCTGGTTTGAAACAAAACTTCATCGGAGTGTTTATAAAATTTACTATCGTACAGGCGCAATATAATTTTCCATTTAAAATGAATAATAATAATTATATACATACCTATGTATATATTATATACATATACTAAAAATTAATTTAAAATGTTAGTATAAGGGTACTCCCTATGGTGGACACTTATGGTCCAACTTAACTGCAAATAACAATAATTTTAGATGAATGTGCATTTCCTTATTAGTAATGTGTAAAGAAATGGTACAAAGGTAAGAACTGAATATTTGTAATATTTAAAAAAATATAAATATTTTTTTTTTTTTGTGTTTGTCATCAGTAGTTCCTGAAGGAGTAGGCATCCCATATCCCAAAATTTAATAAATAATTTGCTGAGGAAAAAAAGGGTTTTCAGTACAGAAAATTAAAAACATGAAACATTGATTATGCAGAATTAAACTTTCGCCATGTTTCAAAAAAATTTAGCTCAAATTTCATACTAAAATCGAAATATACTAGAATTGTGAAGTAAGTAACTTATGAAGTAAATCAACAATTACCAACCATTGAAAAAGAGCAATATCTAGCATAACAGAGTAATATTAGCAAGAGCTCACTATTATTTTTTTACAATAGAGGTACACAACACAATAGATTACTTATAATTAATTATACTATTATTAACATTGGTTCATTTCGTCGATTTTTATTCTTCCAGTTGAGTGATAAATTTAATGAGCTTATATAAGAAATGTAATAAGTACATAACAATGCTTTGCTCGCCATTTAGAATAGAAAGTGCAAGTTGGGCTTCTGACATACGGGTACCCAAGAAAAATGCAGGCGTCGAGTACCAATTCATGGGTAAATGGGAGGCTGGAGTTGCATTTCCTTATATTAGGGGTGAGTGGAAAAAATATTTTATTTTAATCATATTCTACACAGTAAAGCGTTACTGTTGTTCAAGAAATACTAAACAAAAATCTTTGGACCGAATGGTTTGGTCATTGAAGTCACCAATCTACTATTAGTGTCTTCATACAATCTTGTGATCCAATTAATTATGTTCTGAAAGTGGGGTAACGATAAATTATGTTGTTTTTATTCAGAATTATTTCATACAAAAAGTTGCACAACTAGTTTATTTTATATTTGAAACAAGTAACAAAATTTATTTAATATCGATTATTTTTTACATGCATGCTATTTCATTACATGCAACAATACAATTAATTCAGTGATTTCTCATAAAAATGACTTTTTGTACAATATGATTTTTTTTAAATGTTGCACAAAGAACATGTTATGTATTTACTAGCAAATCTATTTTTTTTAATTTCTTTTATAAATTACAATCAATAATTACACAATAATAAATACATTCAATAATTTTGGGAATTCATGAAGCAAATCCAAATGGTTTTTATTTTATAATATTTCAGATGGGTATATTAGATTATATTAGCTTTTTCAAATAATCTTTGATTCATTGTAATAAATAATGTAAAGGAAATTTTCACCATATTACGTATTTACATGTAAATCCAAATTATTTGTAATTTTATAATAATTCGCACAAGTACAAGTTTATATAAACTTTCTTAAGTTATCTTTTAGAACTTTCAATATGATATTGTGTGAACAATAAGTAAAACTGAAAATCAATAAAATTTTAATACAAGTTTATAAAAAAAATTAAATGTTTGCGCTAAGTAATAGTTTGTACAATTATTATAAATTAGGCTTTTCTACAGTTTTACTGCAAGTTAAAATTTTTTAAATTTATCTACTTCTTGAACAAGTTCCTACTAGTTTATTTTAACTTTCATGTCATTTTAATTTAATTGCTAATTTATCAACATTCGTGTTTTAATAAATATTGTATAAATATTAAAAAAATATTTACATACGTAAAATGAACAACATTTTAATATGATTATAAAGAATAAATTCTTAGAGCGAAACAATTTTAATTTAACCACCGTGTCATTTTATAAGTGTAATATATAATAGCAATATTGTAATAATATAATAATTTCTTTTTTGTACTTGATATAAACAGAGTATTAATATATTCTAAAAAAAATGTTAGTGCTTTGTTTTAATTTGTATCATCATTATTAAAAATTATAACACTAAATATTATATATTCATAAACGATTTTTTCGAATGTTAACATACTGAAATATTTTGATAAATTAAAAAATATTTATAAAATATTATATTATGAATAAAAAGACATTTATACAATGAAAGTAATTTATTTATTCTCCATTTTCAAACAAAATTAATTGGATTATAAAATTATAACATATAACTAGATTTTTTCACTTCAGATGTCATGAGGTATGATAAATTTTAATAAAAAAATATTATAAAAGTAGTATGAAAACATTAGTGTGAAAAATGAATTTAGAAATTTAATAATAATTCATCAATTACTATTGTTACTCTTATTACAACGTTCATTATAGGTTATGCAAAATCATATATATTATACAAAATCTTACGATTTTTTTTTATTTACATAATTATTTTTCTACACTCGATATTAAATTAATTGTTCATAAAGTGTGAAGGATCCACTAAAAAATACATCTAATGCAACTCAGAAAATGCTAATTAGCAAACAAATATTTATCAAAAGGAATGTAACAACCAGCTCCGATCTCCCATACTATAAAACCGGTTTACTTATCCATATCCTGCATCACTCAGTACAATAATACTATTGCATTACAATCGCCGAAACCTAAAAAAATAATAAAAACCACTAAATTCCCATAAAATCTCTGCAAAATTATGAATCTCCTGAGAAGTTGCTCATCTCGAATGATTTGAACAAATATTGAACTCGAATAGCCCGAACTACCGTTACGGCGATGTCTCAGCATAGGTAAGCTTCATCACCTGGGCCTATCGACGTCTTTGTTTGGTAAATGGGTTTTAAATGAGGCGAGAAGGAGATGGCGAACCGTCCATGCGTTTCTCTTTTGAATAGACATCGTGCACAAGAACAGTGCTGTGGTATGTGCCAGACAAATCTGACGCGTTTAAGGTCTGATCGGGCACGAAAACGAATTTTTTCGAGGAATTTAATAGAAACCTTAATAAAACACATCGACACATCTCAAACTTGTGTGCAAAATCGTGCTTAGTTACATGGATTCACAAAAATTTTAAATGCCATCTTACTACCATCCATCAAGTTTAAGTAGTGTTCTTTACTATAGTGCAGTGTCCATTAGTGAAAATTCCTATAGTGATTAAAACAGTGATTTTCTTCAAGATTTTCTTCAAGAGGTGTTATTTGTTATTTCAGTGTTTGTGCAATAGGTTGTGAAAGGTGAAGAATTCCGTTGTATTTTGCGGAGAACTGACACAATGATGTCACCGCTTACCGGGACACGGACCATCAGTTCTTGCAAGCAACGTGTTTGCCAATAATGCAGTGAATGGTAAATAAATTTAAATTTAATTAAATTTGCTTTTACCATCGTACCCGGATGTCCAATCACTAGAAAAGAAAATTTGGTTTAGATCTTCTGAGTACTATCAAAAATTAGCTGATGTTCCTTAATGGAATAGGCGTAGATATTTCAAAAAAAAATGCTTTAATATTTTAGATCTTGTATACTTAAAGCCTTGGGGTCTAATCTTAATCACTTGATTCGATATTAATATTCACATCAAAATGTTAATGGTTAGGTAATTTTCCATACTGCATTATAGATGGTCATACATGATTTTCTCTTAGCCAAATCATTTAAACATTCTTCCTGAACAAGGATACAAATTGCATTACCACTGACTACATTGAAAATAAAATTTAATAATTTTAGTCTCAAATTTATGACTTTATATAGAAAAGGTCCTGCTGTAATTATGATCTTTAAAAAAACGATTAAAAGTTCTCAAACCTGATTATTGTTATTTAACATCACCGGATTTGTTTCTATATTATTTAGTTTATTGTCAAAATTATATTCATAAAATTTCAAATATACTATACAATAATTTTCACAATCGGTAAATTGCAGTATCAAAATTGGCAAATAATCATCGTGTACAAAGTAAGTTCAATTTTTTTCAAAATTATGTTCAGGAAATTTCTCATAAACTATCAGTAGAGAATATTAACAAAATTGACATATAAATATCTTTTAAAAAATCTATTGTAAAATCATAAATCATGACAAAAAAATGTTATTATTAGTGCTTTTTTATTTTTGTTTATTTAAGACTTCTGTTACAATTTGACATACTAAAACAACTTCAAGTACTTCAATTATTTAGTCGAACTTGACGATTTATTATTAAAAACTTGAATTCATGGATGAAGACACTGCCCTAAAAATCTTTAGTCATGTAGAATCTAAAAATCTACAAAAAAACTCCCATATAATTATTTAGAAAGATATCACTATTACATTCGTGGGAATCGTATATGGTTCGCATATAATTCATGAATTTCTCTCGAATGAATAAAATGTTGTTAATTGCGTAATTCATTGGAGAAGAAGCAATATTTTTCCTTATAAAGTTAATCTGAATTTCAATCCATATATTCATTGATAAATAATAATTCTTTAAACAAAAATTTTGCACTAATTAACTCAAGATAACAAGAAAAAATGGTATAAAGGATAATATTCAAACAAATGAAAAGCGCGTGAAGTTTTCATTAATTTTTTTTAATAAATTACACAAAGTAAAATTTAATTTCTTATGTATGAAGGCACTTGACCAGTGGCGTCGAAAGCAAATTTTTGATGGGTGAGCTCGTTTTTTTTGTAGGCAGCCAGTGGGCTTGTTTTTTTTTTCATATCATATTTTGACATTGATTTGTCAGCCCACACGATTCCGACGCCACTGCACTTGACTTTTCATTTCAATCTTCATTTTTTCAAAACTTTAATTAATTTTTATAATTAAACCACTTTTCATAGACCTATAATATTTTAATTATTTTCCTTTTGACTATCAGCCCTATCACCATCTTAAATTTCAACAAAATCGCAAACGAATAAACCTGAAGTTCTCCTTGTTGATCACAGTTTTTTCTCCAGGTTGTAGGGATGAAGTATCTTGATCAGAATGTTATAATTTTAAAATTACAACGGATTATATATTTCGACGCTTAAATATATAAATCTTATCATAAAAAATAATAATTATTTATTATTCATCTAGAGGCCGTTCAAGTATTACGTAAGCACTATAGGGGGCGTGTGGGTTATTGATTTGCTTATTTTGCTTATTTTTGGTAAGAAATTTGCTTGCTTTTACTGACAAAAGGGAGGGGGGGGGGTAAATAATTGTAATAAATCTGCTTACATATTACTTTAACGATCCCCTAGCAATAACTGAAAATAATTAAAAATACAAGTACTGCGCTACGATCCAATGGCTTTGTAATCATCAGATACTCGCATCTCCTGAATCAAAAATTTCTTTTAAGTTTTTACTTATCAAAACGAATTTTTAAAAATAATTATTTATTATATTTCAAAGTACCCAACATTAAAATTCCATCTCAGTTAGTATGTCATTTTTTTATTACGGAATGCATGAAATCTAATGCCTGATCAGTTGTCTCCCGGCACAGTTATGTTATTCGACATATGCGGACTAACAACATTTAACGGAATACCTGCGTAACGGAATGTGCAACACATAAAAATTCGATTCGGATGTGAAACACATGAAATTCGGCAATAAAATTGCACTGGGAACAACCGAAAAAAGTATTCATTGTTTCACCTAACGACTACTCGGAATTGGATGAGTAATCTTTTTTCTGATGGTAATAATCAACTTCATTCATCCACGAAACAGATATATAAATATTTCTTGAACTCTTCTAATAAACCTTATTTAATTTACACTATTATAGCTGTTATCATAAGAAATCTATATTTCCATAATATACATCTTCTTATCACTATGTTAGCAATTCATTTGCAATAAAATAAAAACTTTTGTTTTTATATCCAGTATAACAATGTGTTATTCTAGGTATCTATGTGATACCTTCTCTCACGTATTCCAATTGTAATTCCAGACAAGGCATATGTAAATTACGATTCATTGCATAATAAATATGTTTTATTCAGTAATAACAACTGTAGCGTTAATGCTTCCTTCAATAATAAAAAACACGGAAATGATATATTCAAATAAAAATAATAATATAGTAAAAATTTATTGTTTCTAGTATTTTGTCTCTTTACTAATCTCTCTTTAACATATGATCATACTTGGACATCCAATTACTGGATTGGCATTCGATTTAGGCATTTCTTCAAGTACAACCAAAAATTTGTTGATATTCCTTCATGAAATAAGCGCATATAATAAAAAATTTTGTTTAATAAATTTTTACATTTCTCAAACCTTAACTTAAAATTCTTAAATCGTGAATTCATATACGTAATGGATTGTATGATCGTTTTTATTAAATAATACAAGTTTTATGATTAACATTCAAATGAGAATAATGTTTTTTAAATAATGAAATTATGTTAATAAAAATTTATAGTTTTATTAATTATAGTATCCAGTACTCTTTACTTATTTCTTTTTAACATACCATTATACCTGGACGTCCAATTACTGGATTGGCATTCGATTTAAACATTTCTTTAAATATGACCAAAAATTTGCTGATGTTCCTTAATGGAATTGGCTCAGATAATAAAAAAAAGTCTTTGTTTAATAAAAATTATTGCATTTCCCAAACCTTAACTTTAAATTTTCTTATATCGTAAATTTACATAAACAATGGATTGTATGAAGCTTATTAGGTAAAACATACTTCTGCAGCACATTTGAGCTTTTCTACATATTATTAATTAAGATATAACATTATATCTATTTTTTATTAGTTATAAATTTAGAAATACTTAGAAATACACTTAGAAACTAATATTTAGTACTCATTCAGTAATTTCTTGCAAAGTTTCTTACATTTATTACTACTTTTTGAAGTACTATCCAATCAGCCTTTAAAAAATTTATATCAAGTGATAAAAAAAATCCGTTGTTCATTAGAAATTACTATAAGATTTTGTTATAAAAAGTAACTTCTTCATCTCAATTTTCTAAGAGTATTTCACACAGGAAATAATAGTTGAATCGAACAAAATACTGAGTATGGTTCGTTGAGTTTTTAACAATGATACCCGAAATAGACAAGTTTTTTAAATGTTCTTTTAAATACACAATAGGAGATATGTTAAACACTTTTTATATACAATTCTATATAGGTTTGTAGGTTCTTTGCTAAATTGTGTAATTACTAAAAGTGTTATAATTGCTTTCAAATAAAAATAGTATTCGGTTGTAAAGTTAAGCATTACAATGCTAAACAAAACCTATAATTTATTTATAATTTTATCATTTATTAATATATTATAAAATATTTTCTTGGCGGATTTTGTTCAAGTTACCTAATAAGTAACAATGTGCTTTGGATTTAAATAAGCTCTATTTTGAAATCTATAACAATCGAGCACTAAATTTTTGCTTCGTGGGAAGAAGATATTTTTTTATTATAAAATTGTACAGCGTTTACGTAAACAGGTCATCAGCATTTCAATACTAATTAAATGTGTTAGGTCTAGGATGTTTTGTAATGCATAATAAAGCGTGAGTATTTTTTAATAAAAGCTTTTGTTTACGCACGTTCATTTTTCTCTTTGTACTGTTCCATATTACCAACTACATATAAATATAATTCTCACGTTTCTGTTATGTTAGGATGATTAATGTAATTCACAGATCACTTATTATAAGAAAAGCAATTGCACAATAAGGGATCTGAAGTAATTAATGTAGTTTTCTTATTCCCAGTAACGCAATATCGTGTACACTTCATTTGTTGTTATTTTACATCGACTATTGCCACGTAAGAAATTGTTAATAGAACTTGAGTAATAGTGAATGTTTTAAAAAAAATGGGAAAAGTATATTAAGATGTACATTCTAAATTTAACCAGTCTAAAAGAACTTATTTGCTAACACACTTTTTAACAACAAGTATAAAATTGCAACTAAGCCGTTAATTATACAGATTAAATGCTCCCTACAGATTATATGGAATAAATTAAATTGTGATCATACTTTTTATAATTTAATTTATCGCAACATTTTTATATTAATTTAAGATTAAAAATCATATTTTTCAAACAGTTACTAACAGGGTTTGAATCATAAAAATAATTTCATTTCATTGTTAATCAAATCATGTACTCAATTGGAAATGTTTTGAATAAAAAAAAACATGTGTTCCATTCTTCATTACATTATTAAATAGTATAATTTTTCAAAATTGCTTATTATTTATTATGTGTTATCGTTTCACAAAATGAAGTATTTTCTCTTACATTATTAAAACTGTCATATAAATAACCGCGCGCTTTCTATCATCTGCATAAAATACGCATTTTAACATAATTAAATTAATTGGTATAAATGGAGGAACTGAATTTTCTAAATTTCTTTATGTTTTAAAAATGCAACACAATTTATGCAAATTTACACGATCACTTTATAGCTTAGCATTCAGCTCCAAATCTTAAATATTTTATAATATCGTTTATATGATTCAAGTCTAGGATTGATCAAAAGTCTGTGAAGAAATAAAGACAAAAATAAATATTATAAATTTATAATAATTTTTATTAATTATAACAAATAAAATAAACCAAAATTCGTAATCACGCCAAGAATTATTACATATATATGAGTTACATATTGTATACATATGTATAAATTAAAAAATGTGAAACTCATTCAACAAATAAAAATGAAAGCATATATGAATAATATGAATAGTTTGAACAATATTTTTACAGTATGTAATTAAAAATTTTCTATAAATTTTTGCATAAAAAGTGAAGACCCTCCGAGTCGGTGAGTTGACTCTGTAATTTTTCTCTTTTCATTTCTACATAAATGAGAAACAACAAAAATAAACATTAAAAACAAATTCTACTACTTTTCAATGAATTTAACGGTACTATACTCCTGGATTTAAATATCAAATTTGTGATATTTAATTATTAAAATATAATTAAGAAATACCACCAGGTGAATGAGAATTATCAAAATTACACCCATATAAGAAGACTGAAAAACCGGTCTCAAGATTTAGGAAAATAAAATATCAATTTCGTATTTTGTTTTGTTTCCATAATCAACTAAAAAAACTTACCACAGGATAACCTTTATTTCTGTCCTGATTTTCCATCTCATAAAAATTACTGATTTCATTTGTATATGAAAAGAGATTATAGTTGTGAAAAATAATACATTTTTGCTATATCATTGAAATCAAACGGCTTGGGATATAAAACAAAATATATTTATCTTGTATATATGTATCTATACGATAATCTTTTCTGAGATATTCCGAAAGCGTGAATTGCACCAATTCGAAAAGACATTAAATGCAACTCAATGACGCGAGTTAATAAGAGTCATAATAAATATGATGATTAATATATCTTAATGATTTGCATTTGTTTAATAAAATGCACGTGCCTCAGTTTATAAATTTAGAATGAACAAATGTACGTCTCTTGATATTTTATTCAAATAATCTGTAATATATCATTAATAAATTTCTAAATATGCTATCTAGTTACTGATTAATCTTCCAGAATCTTTCCATCGGTCGACCATCTCCACAGATCCGAATGAAGTCGTGTGTCCTGAATTCGCTCACCAGTCGACGTCATGAAACGCAAGATGTCATCGACAACGAGTCGAGCGCTCTGGACGCTCCTGGTGCTGTCGGTCGCGAGTTCGGCGATCGCGCAACTGACGAACCGCGCGCCTCATTTCAGCGTCGGCGACGGCGATATGTCAAGGTTCAGCCTGGCCGAGGACACGCCTGTCGGAACGCCCGTCTATCAGCTGAAAGGTATGCAATTTAACCGATTGTTCGGTAGATGAACTTATGGAATAACTAGATTTGATGCATGAAACGATTTTGAAGATCAGAATAATTACGTATTTGCTAGATTTATGATTTTCTTTGTGTCTAACCGTAAAATTCTGAGTCTGCACCTACTCAGAGTGTAGTGTACTCATTATAGAGATATACTATATCAAATTTGTAACACTTCTTGTTTATTGTGCCAATATGTCTATCATCGATTCTATTATTGTATTTTTATTAATCGTGCGTCAAACATTTTTTATTTAAATTAGCTTCATTGCAAATTGGGTCTTGCTTACTCTGAGCATCGACTACATACAACATACAATTTTTTTTTTATTTCTATATCTTTTTATTTCTATATCATATACGATATATCTACATATATATAAAAATAAGTCAGATTATCTTTCCTGGCGATATAACTCAAGAACGCACAAACCGATTTCGCCAATTTTGTATTCGTTTGAAAATTAATGGTGCATGGCATCGTGCCTTAATGCAAATTGCTGAAACTTCACGCACCGTAATTAAAATTTTGAGTAATGACATTAGTCAGAATTATCAGAATTGTGCTTGGTTATGTCAACGAGCAATTCTTGCCGCAAAGAATAATGATGTACACGCACTGATTTTCACCATTCAATCAAAAATTGCTGGCGATTTGGTGACATACTAATGATTCCGACTGGTCTTCTGTTTGACTTCAAACGATTGCAATTTCCAGTTCGTCTTGCGTTCGCGATAACAAGTCGCAAGGCCAATCGCTTAGTGTTTGCAGGATAAATTTCAAATAGATTATTTAGAAAATCATTGTTTTTCACATGGGCAGTTATACGTTGTCTGTTCACGAGTTGTTTGTGTTAACGTCAGACCAAAAAACAAAAAATGTGGCTTACCAAAGAGCACTTCAATGAAACAGATAATTTGCGGATTCACTTTCATTTACTTAGAGAAGTTCAACGAAAAAACACTTCATTTTTGTAATCGAAATAAATTCATTACTGTTGTGTAATAAAATTAAATTTACCTTTTCAAATATAAAACAAACATAAAATTTCTTCAATTTTCTATAAAATTATAAATTATATAATATAATAATCGTAGCAATTTATAAAATATTGTAGGACAATAAAGCAATACGTAGCTGTTTGAATGTTTCATACCTATGTGCTGCATACAAATATGCGCATAAATTAATCCATATTTATTATTTAACATTTTGCATTCTAGACCTCTATAAGATAGATCAGTAACAACTCTTCGAATCGTTAAATATCATTACTAATTACTATGATATGGTGTAATAATAAATACTTGCTGTTGCCCTCATTGTAAATGTGTGAGGCAATTAGAATTTTTAATTTTTTTATTTTTGGATAACTGACCTGAATTGTACAACGTGTAAAACTGTAGGATTAAAAAATTGATTTAAAACATACAAACTCTTCTAACCAATTTCATAGATTTTGATAAATTGACATATGTTAATGTAACGTGAATTTCTTTTTCAATCTTGAGTGTTGTAACGTAGAGAGTTTGGATGATCCTGATTATTACTCAAATTAGATTAAGAATATATAAGTTCTAGATCAAAGTATTGACATGTTTCATAAATGTAGAATGCATTGCAAAAACATTCGATTTGTGATAATTGAATCAACATTCCTTTGACAGTAGTTTCATTTCTTTGACTATATGTTTCATATTCTGAACAGTGTGATAAACTGGATATCTATGCAGGTATTAATTATCTTCAAGGTTTAAAAAAATGCACTTGCCTCAGTTTATAAATTTAGAATGAACAAATGTACGTCTCTTAAAATTTTTATTCAAATAATCTGTAATAATCTATCATTAATAAATTTCTAGGAGTGGATCCAGAAGGAGGTAGGCTCCGATATAGTATCTCGGGCCCCATATTCAGCGTAGACCGAGACACAGGTGTTGTCCGACTACGACAACCATTAGACAGAGAGACACAAGATCAGGTTGAAGTGGTCATCAGCATTACAGGTAAATAAATATAAGGTTTTATTCTTAATTTTAGTTTGTCTACATCGTAGGGACTGCATGCTGGTACATGTAACGATTTGGAGTTTTATACATATGACGATGCAATTCATGTAACATAATTTTATTTCTAGAATTATTTATTTGCCAATGTTTCTTTTGTGTAACTCGTCTAGATTACAATCAATAATTTTTTCTTACAAAAAAAAAATTCTGCTTGTATGATTTGAAAATTCTTTTTGGTTCTTAAGATATTATAGGACATGGAAATAGAAAAGGGTAATTTTAAATTATTTATTATGTCATACATTAAACAAATTATTTATGCTTTACATCACCCTGAGTCCAAATAATGTTGCAATTATATCGAAGTAAGCAAGTGTAAAATCATCCGAGGCGTTTTACATATAACAAGTATGTAAAAGCAAACTATCGTTCTGGAAAGAACTAATTATTTAAATCCATCTGCACTGTGCATCTTTTATAAACACACGTACACTGCATTATTTACATATTTACATTTAATTAAAAATAATATATTTCTTTCGTACACGCATTGGATTTTTATACGTTTCCGCAACGTAGAAAGCGTAGCGTTCAAAATTAACCGATGCAAAATTAATCGGCGCGCATTTCAAAATTTGAATTTAATGACGTGTAACTATCGTAAAAGATTGAAGGCTTCGTAAAACATCGCTTTGAAGAAGTCTTGGTAAGATTTAATTATCTTTTTTCATGACATCACGGTTGGTGAACATCTCACGAGAACGTGCGTCTGGTTCGTTGGGTATGGTCATGTCTGTAATAACAAGATACACGATGTATATTACTCCGGTGCCTCGTTGAAATACTCAGAAAATATTATTGCATTGCAATAAACATCATTCTCAATTTATTTTATATCCTTCCAATTGGAATCTTTTCAATAACAAAAAATATTCAAGTTTTATATAATTTCAAATCATTTTGCAATTCGCTACAAAGTATGAAATAGCTTGTAGTTGTGTGTCCACAATGCCTGCAATAAAAACATTTTCAATGGTTACCTGTTAAAAGAAATAGTATTAAATATTACTCTGGGCTTAGTGGTTAGATCTATGGGCTTCCATTCAGAAGTTTCTGGTTTGATACACGTTTTGGACAGCCCGATATCAAGCAGTTCATCGGTTTTTACTTGAAATTATAGATAAACATCTCAAGTAAAAGAAGCTCTTACCTGACATTGCAGCAAAAATTAATAATTATAATTTTTAGAATTTAATCAAAACCTATAAAAATTATTTTCCTAATAATTTTGAATAATCTCATAGGACTCGTTAAGTTCTGATCACTGTGAATAATATAGAATTATTATTTCATTATAAATAAAAATACTTTTACAAATTATAGATATTGCTAAACATAAATATTCAAAATAATAAATAATTTTTTTTAAAAATGTTCCATATAATAATTTGTTTGTTGAACGTTAAACTCACTAGTTAAAACACTAAAAATTTTGTTATAAGTGTAAATCAGCATTATACATAACAAAGGCCCATTTTTACAAAACCAGTTTATATATACATTATATTATTGAATATTTATTTTTAAAAAAAAAAATTTAAAAATAAAGCTGTCTAATAATTATTTTAGTAAGTGTTAGAACATTCAAAATATTAAATAAGAAGATATAAATAAAATCAATATAATAATTTGTTTGTTGAACGATAAATTCTGCAAGAAATTTTATTAAGTGTAAATTGGTATTATACATAGCAAAGGTCCACTTGAATGCAAATATAATTGAATATTTATTCTTAAAAGTAAATTTCGGGAATAAAGTTATGTAATAATTAGTTTAGGAACTTTTCATTTGAATGCTGCATATACAAATCATTAAGTATTAAAAATATTGAATCATTTAATTTTTCAAGGTATAAAACCTTGCAATTTTTTTTTTCAATAATTTAAATTTTTTGTTAATCAAAATTATAACATTTATATTTTGTTGCTATTTTCAGTGAAAGTAGATTCTGTTCTTTTATTACATTAGAAACTAATTATGAAATAAAAATTAGCATTTCACCACAAAGTAAATCTGATGCAATTTAATTTTGAATTCTGGGTATACTTCATGTATTGTCTACATATTATGTCTACGTAACAAATATATGACTCATTTTTTTTTAATTTCTTAAATAAAATCTAAAAATAATAATATTAAATGCAAGAATTTTGAGTAGTATCTTGAGACTAAATTGCATTCTAAAGATTCTTATATAAAATATCTCCTGCATTCAAAAAGCGATTTCTCTCTATACTATATCATAACAAATTATTTTCACAATATTCATTATACAAGACCGTTATTCATAATTATTTGAAGCCTAAGAAATATTGCAATATACCGCAGCGAATTTCACGGTTTGTAATACAACTTTGTATGTAATGACTGCAGTATTTTCTTCTGATATATAATAGAATAAAAGCGAAGCAAGGATATTTTTTCCATAATTGCTCAAGGCAAAATAGCGTTGAGAAAACTTTTGTGTTTAAGGAGATTGCGTATATAGTTTAAAAGTCTTTGCTTATACTATTACTTGTCACAATTTCCTAAACTATCTGAGTTTTATTTTAAAAATATTTAACCTATCAAAAATGCAGAGTTGATGCCCATGGTCCAGGGTGTATACTTTCATAATACATTGAATTTTAATTCATTATATAATTTCATTACGATTGTCGCAATAAACAGTTATCTTCCTCTCGTCGTGAACATTAAAATAAAGTGTTATGCATAAAACAAATCTTCTATTGCAATAATAACAAACCGCGAAGTGAGCTTTTGCCCGTGAAGTAGGTTATTGCAAAGGCGATCACGTTGTTCCTCACGAGAAAGTGATCTATATCAGCTCACGCAGGCAAATTATGAATTGTATTATATTGTATTATTAGTTGTGTTAACGGTACTTCTCATGATTCAATTCTGTTATTTAATTGCTTTATGAAATACTTGTTCATATCGCAGAATTTATAATTTGTATAATGATTAAGGTGATAGCATGAATTCGTGAACGAAAAAGGTTGAGGAAGACAATGTAAGATTTTGAATATCCATTCACTGTTATATCTAAAATCTTTCATTTTTATAACATTATGCTGATCTTTTCCCAAATTGAACTACTTTATACAAATTCCATAAGCATATAAATCTCTTAGTATATTTAAAACGTTAAAAAGGCGCCACGATAATATCTGAAAAATTTCCACATGGGTCGTAGTAACTTTATTAAATGATTTAGTTAAAAATGTATCGAGAAAAAGATTTTTTGACAGAATTTCTGGAAAGGCACTATGTTTTATATCACACATATATGTCTGACATGACCTTATATTAAATTTTTTTCTTGAAAATCTATTAATTAACTTCCCGTAGGGTAAGTTATTGTAATGGGCCGAAAATCGAAATAGAAAATTTTTACATTTCTCGACGTTTTGGAGGTTTCTGAACATTTTGGCATACCTCAGAAAAAATGGATGTGTGTGTGTGTATGGATACAAATTTCCAGTCACGTTTTCGGGCACACGGATCAACCGATTTGAATGGTTCAAAAAACATTCGATTCCTATCGATAGGGAGAAGAGCTGATTAGTTTTTGGCAAAGGCAGGTCCAGTCGTTTCGGGGATACGAAGAAAAGAGTGCAGAAAATAGAAATCGAGTTTTTGAGTGAACGGAGCATCCGATTTGAATGATCTAAAAAACATTCAATTAGTAATGATTGGGAGAATTGATTATTATTTTTGGCAATGGCAGGTCTAGCTATTTCAAAGATACAGAGCTAAATGTGCAAAAAATGGCAGTTTTTGAGAGAACTAAGCGTCCAATTTAAATGATTCAAAGAACTTTCTGCTTGTTTTAACAAAATAATTGATTTTGGAAAAAAAAATTGTATCATTGTTTTTTTTTTTAGTTTTTTTTTGTATATCGAAAATATTTCCTATTTTATTTTTAATTCTGACTAAAGTTCTGATATACTTTGAACAAATAATTTTGACTTTGCAATTCAGTTTATGAAATTCTTATAAATATTACACAATATTACAATATTTATAATAATCTATTTGAAAACATTCTGTATTCCTCGAACATTTCGTTACGGTACGGGAAGTTCCAGCAATTTGTCTTAAGGTACGATGCCATACACCCCACTAGTTCTGTATTTGCACTCCATTGTGTCATTATTTTGAAAATTTGTATTATAGAGCTTTTTATAGTATTAAGTTATTAAAAACTTAAATAAACTAAAAATGCATTTTTACCTATTTGGTGATCAAGTATCATGATGGATACAGAGAAAAATGCTTTGAAATAATGAACTAGTGATGTATGGCATCGTACCTTAAAGCAAATTGCTAGAACTTCTCGTACCAAAAATTAATTTTTTTTAGAAAGATTAACTTTGAAAAAAGTAGATTTTTGAGAAAATTTAAATTTTTGAAAAAAATATCAAAGCGCGTAAGCGCCGCGACGCTGTCTAATGGACAAATACGTAAATGATACAGAATCCATATAAATGTAAACAAAATTGATACACATTATTGAAATCTCCATAAAACATCGGATAATCTGATGTGCATATGTCTAAATGTTCAGAAACCTTTGAAACGTAAAGATATATAAAAAATTTCATTTTCGATTTTTTTGCTGTTAGTATAACTTACCCTACGGGAAATTAATACAGTAGAACTCCAATTATCCGAATTAATGGGGACCGGGACCCATTCGGATAATCAAATATTCGGATAATTGGAGTTTTTTTTAAAAATTGTTATTGGAGAGAAAAAAAGTTACGTTTTTATATTGCACTATTTTTTTATTGAATTAAATGAAAGAAAGTGGCGGACGTAGCTCAGAGGTAGCATGTCCGACTCACATGCCGGAGATCGATGGTTCGACTCCTGGCGCCTTCAAATAATTGTTAATTTGTAGAATACAAGAAAAAGTAGAAGTAAATAGGAAAAAAAGAAGTTTAGAAGATGAGAAGAACGTATTGAGAAACAAGAAGAAGAATGAAAATTGGATGGAAGATTAGGATTTAAGAAGAGATAGTATATACACGTATATGATGAATGTATAAGAAATATATATGTAAGAATTGTATAGAATATGATGAAGAATAAAATGAAAATGTATGTGGCTAAAAATGCTGTATAGCGGAGGCCAATAAATTTAAAAAAAAAAAAAAAAAAATGAAAGAAACGTGACATTTTCACATGTTTTAAATATAAATAAAATGTACTTATGTACAAGTTTAGAAATAAAAATCGTTGTTTTGTAAACATCTCCGTCAAATCAAAACAAACAATGTGCCTACACTGGCTTTGCTGGTGGAAGAGTAATAGCGCACTTAGACTTTTTTTGGACATTTTTTTTCTGAAAGTGATTCGGATAATCGGCGATTCGGATAGTCGGAGTTCGGACAGTCGGAGTTCGGATAATTATTATCAATTATCAATTATCTTCTGTCCCCAGATGAAGCAGTATTCGATACAGAGCCGAACACAGTTTCCCTTCGTCGGGAGATTCCGGTGCGCGACGTGAACGACAACCCGCCTCGTTTCCATGGGCGTCCCTACAGGGCGAGAGTACGCGAAGGAGGCTCGGATGGTGCCGTAGTTCCTGTCCGACCCGAAGTGTTGGTCACGGATGCCGATGGCGGCATCAACGCCGACGTGACGGTTGTCTGCTCCGCCGCAGGAGATGATTCTTGTGATGCCTTCGACGTCGAAACCGTGAAACTGACTGACGGGAAATTTCAAGGTTAGTACACCGGATGCGTTTAATGTGGCTATTTTGTTGAAGTTGAAGTTTATTTATGAAAGTGTATGGACGTGCATTATGTCGATAATACCGTACTTCCGATTTATTTAGTAAATAAATTACACAGGCCAATATTTTTTTTTTGCTTGGTGTATCACATGTTAGAGCTGATACGTATAGTTTTTTTTGCGCTGATTGCAAATCTGCAAACCAATTTTTTGTATCAGCTCTAGTTTGGAATTTGGAAAGAAGTTGCCGAAACCAAGTCCATTGTAGGTCGTCACGGAAAAGAACTTTTCAGTGTCAACTAATGTCCCAACTAAGGCCGAATGGGTCTTGTACATGATGTATATCTCTCTCATTTAAATTACATATTGAATTGTATTACTATTTTGTACTTTCATTCCTTATATATAATATATATCATATCTTGAAAACTAAAGCTCATAGAAGAAAAACAATGTCATTTATGAATTAAATTAAAAGCGCCCCAAATATACTTAAAAATGGCATTAAAATCGTTTGCACCATTTTCTTTGTTGGCCTATGGTATAGTTTGCTTCGATAATAATACAATTTTTAACGTTAGAATTATATTATATCAACATGTACTTATTCAAAAAAATCATGAAATAACAGTTGGGGAAGGAAGGGGTATAGTAAGAGATCAATAGTATTTATTTTTTACCTGAATTCTTTAAAAATATCCAAACATTTCACAAAAAAATTCAAAAATTTTATTTTTTTCTCTCGTAACTAATACACGAGATGTTTGGTGGAGGAGGAAAGGTAATTTTGAATATCACCACGTATCACCAAGGGGGAGGAATGGTAAAAAAATTCTTAAAAAATCGATCACGTGATTAATGGTCGCCTCTTTATATTAAAAACAGAAAAAGAGAAGAAAAAGGAAGAAATATTTTTTTTATAATATGTGAACTCTTATATTTCTGTTGAAATATATAAGAAATATGACGTATGTTTGTTCAAACAAGTTTCCATTATTACAAGAGTCAGTCATGGAGTCTTATTGACATGATCTGTAGACCAAATTGCTTTTAAAAAAATTTCTTTTAGTAATACCTGTTACTTGTTTACAGATAGACCACTTTATTTATTATTTTGCTGCAAGTTTTGTTTTTTGTCACACATTCATATATTATGACATGTATTTCGTGTCCTTTTTGGGAGAAATTTAAACAGATAAATAAAAATCTAAAATAGAATACGTAAAAAAAAGAAAAAGAAAAATTTAATGCAATTACTGTTTAGTTTACGTTTTTCCTAGCTAACTGGTAAATTAACTAAATTATTGCTGATCCAAAAAAATGGCACAACCGTACCCAGAGTGTCCTAATAATAATAAAACAAAGAGTAATTTAACCTGCATGAATTTCTGCATTAATAAATTCAGTTTACTAATAAACCGCATTTATGATTATTATTATAGCCGAAATAACCCTGAAACGGCCATTGGATTTTGAGACGAGGTCATCGTATTTGTTAACATTAAAGGCTTATGATGGTGGTTATTCTCCTAAGTCGGCTTTTGCCACAGTAGTTATCGATGTCGAAGACGTTCAGGATCAACCACCTGTATTCTTAGGTGCTCCATACTCTGCCACAATTCCTGAGAATTTACGAGCGGTGAGTAAAATAATTAATGGGATATAAAAGGTTTATTGATGTAAATGTTTTATGAAAGTCCTATGTTCCGACCATAAATATCTAACTTACTTACAATTAATTATATTGTTTTGTTATTTGTTTAGTCTAAAGACATATCAGTTGAATGTATAGTTCTGCAATAATATATGTATTCATGTGCATGTGTTCCACTTTGGAATTTTTAGTATTTGTAAAAAGTTTGCAACTACTCTGGATAAAAGTTGATTAAACGATAATTCCTATATTTTTCTATTTTAGCTTCCAAGAGATCTGTGCAAATCTTATTTTTTCAATTTTGCAGACTATTCTTCAAAACTATTAGATAATTAAATATTTTTAAATTGGTTTTCATAAAATCTGTGTGTCTATCACCTCTCATACCAAATCCAAAATGATTTTTCATACGTTGAATATAATTTTTAAAAATTGGTTTATTATCTTAGGATACATCAATTTTACAAATCTTTGCAATGGATGGCGATGTCGGTAATCCTCGAGCAGTTCTGATGACTTTGGAAGACGACGACTTAGGCTACTTTGCTCTGACTTCTAATTTAACAACAGGTGGTGCTACTCTGATCACTACAGAAATTCCAATAGATCGGGAACATCCAATGGTCATCGAAAACGGAGGAGTGTATACGTTTAACGTTAGAGTAAGTAAATGGAAGTAATTGCTCATAAAAATTTTACTTTTTCTTAACTTTATATTTCAAAATTTAAAAATTAATTTTATTCCATGAAACTTTTATTTTATATCCTCTTATACATATATAATAAAATTCCATTCATCTTGTTCGACATAATGTTTGAGAAATTGATTTGTCTCAATTTGACATGCTAATTGATTTGATTTATCATCATATCATTGCAAATTATAGATTAGGTGTAAATTCAATATTTGTTTATTTAATTTAAACAATATAGTTTCTGACGTATTGTGCAAATATATGTACTGAAATAATTTGCACATTTCAATAACCCGAAATTGAAAAAGAGAAAGCTATCAGAATTGTTATGAAGTATGATGCTTATTTTATTTAATACAAACAACCGTAAACAATTAGCAATTAGGAACACTAATTACATTTCATATCATATTTTTCATATAGAAATCGTTTCCAAAAATAAATTCTTAAATTGATTTTAGTCAATTAGAAATATTTAGGCATAATTATTGTATTTACAAAATTAGTCTTGAAATTTTATGATTTTCTTTGTATAGCGTTTTTAGTATCAAATTGTCCTATATAGTTATAATTGTATTATTTGATATCTCATTTTTATCGCAGGCGACTGAGTTAATAAACAACGAAGTTCCAGCCGATTCCGCAGTTTCACAAATTAACATCGTCATCACTGATGTGGATGATCATCTTCCAGAATTTAATCAACCCTTATTCGAAGTTCTTATACCTGAAAGTTTAGAAAATGGAACCCCTTTACCAGGTCTTCCAATTGTAGTCAGTGACGACGATCTCGGCGCAAATTCGCACTACGACATATCTCTTTCGAGGTGCTAATAATGCTTTTGAAGTTCTGCCAACTACTGCTGAAGGAAGAACACCTATTATCATCAAAGTGAAAGATTCAAGTGTTCTGGATTACGATGTAGATGATATTTCTAAAAGAACCATTGAGTTCGACGTAGTAGCATCAGTTGAATATGAAGAAGTCGCAAGTACTCACATAGTTCTTCACACACAAGATGCCAATGATAATTCTCCAATGTTTGGCCAAGAGACTCGTCACATGGAAGTCGAAGAAAATGCAAAATTCGGTTACAAAATAGCTGATATATCAGCTACTGATAAAGACAGTGGTGTGTATGGTGAAATTATGTATTCATTAAAAGGATTTGGTAGTAAAATTTTTAAAACAGATAAAAAAGAAGGCGGTTTGTTTGTGAATGGTGTTTTGGATTATGAGAAACGAAAAAGTTACAGTTTAACGTTAGTGGCAACTGATGGAGGAGATCGAGAATCAACAATAAATTTATTTGTTGATATTAAGGATTTAAATGATAATGCACCTATGTTTGATGCTTTAGAGTATACGAGGATCATTAGGGAAGGATCAACTGGATTTGAACCTCAATTTATAATACAGGTAATATTTTATAATTATTTCCAAACCACGATATTGATATCTCAAGTTCTACAAATAATCTTTTGTTCATTCCAAGAAAATAAAAATGTATCATTTACTATTTTTCAGGCAACTGATTTGGATGGGCCTCGGCAAGGAGGAAGTAATTTAACTTATTCAATTGAGTCAGAAAACACATTAAGCAATGATGTATTCACGGTCAATTCGTCAACAGGAGAGATTCTGATCAGGAAACCTGTCAGTTCTGCGGACACTGCCCGCGGACAATATGAACTCACTTTACGAGCGACAGACCATGGTATTTGCACTTTCAAATCATTATCATTTCTTTTTGCTTTCTGTTGCAATAGTTGAATCATGTGCAACTATATACATTATTTCCGTATTTCTCTGATGTAAGTGATACATAATTGTAAAACTGCTTGAAATTTAAAACTATATAATCAGAAAATTGTTTGAAAATCACATAAAAAATTTATCTTTACCTATGCACATAGCTTTCAGTTTAATTATTCAATTTTGCTAGATCTTCATAATTATATTAATTATTTTTAATTTTTTAGGTAAACCTCCACTTTACAATGAAACGCGTGTTTTGGTTCGTGTCGGGATTGCTGGAAATCAGCGTCCAGTTTTTCGTGGCGGTTCCTCGAAGCATATGATTGGTCGACCTGGTCCTGCAAATTATTATGCTGCCTTGCCTGAAAATTCTGCACCAGGAACACCTGTCATTCAGGTGACTGCTACTGATCCAGACGGTCCAGATTCGCAGCTAAGATACAGGGCAGCTGGTGGTGAAGGGCGGGACAACTTTGTCGTTGACGAGAAGTAAATAATAATAAAAAAATATTTTAAAGATTTTCAATTAGTAAAACGCTATATACTATTTAATATATAGATTCATATATAGAACAATAAGTTATCATGATATAAATTAATTCATAATTATTTTGTGACAGAAATGGAATTATAACAGTTGGTCGAGAAGCACGTTTGGATCTGGGCTCAAATCCTCATGAATATGCGTTGCAAGTAATAGCAATTGACAATGGTCAACCATTTCCAGAAACAGCTACAACTACTGTCTTCATCAATATCACGGTAAATAAAAAAAAGGTTCAAAAATACGGCAAAAATTTATTGCTCTGATATAACACATTGAAACATAGCATTGCTACTATGGTTTAGTGTACATATTTCTATTAGAAAAATCTTGTAAGCCAAAAAAGGAAACAAATTTTTGATCTTTTATATATTATCGATTCTTTAATTTTTTAGGATGTGAACGATAAACCGCCTCGTTTCAATGATTCTGCTTTAGTCGCATTTGTATCAGAACGAGCTGAAATCGGCACCGTAGTAACCAGAGTGTTTGCCAAAGATCCTGATGAAGATGCATTGCTTCACTATTCAATAATAGAACCTATAGCATCTGTTACTGGCAACGGAATTTCACTAAAATCCGTAGTTCGATACGATTTCAAAAACGCATTCAAGATAAACAAACTTACTGGAGAAATTTTAGTCAACAACACAATGGATTACAATTCTGCAGCAGTGATAGTCTTAACAATAGAAGCTAGAGATATAAATGCAGCTTATAATAAAGAAGATCAAGTCGATACTACACAGATTACGATGTATGTACAAGCATATAAAGATGAAAATCCTATATTCGAAATAGATGGATGGTCTCAGATTAAGCCTTATATCACAAAAGATATTGATGAAGAATCGCCTATAGGCAGTGTTATACTCACAGTAAGTGCTAAAGACGGAGTGAACGGCAAACCTGTGACCTTCTATCGCATAAATGAATCTAATACTGATTTAGTACAAATAAACGAAATCAATGGAGCGATTTCTATTGCCAAACGAGTGGACTATGAAGCCTTGGAAAATAATACGTTAACATTCACAGTAGAAGCAAAAAGTATTGATTTATCAAGGTCAAGCCTAGCTAAAGTTAATATTACAGTGCACAATATTAATGATAATGCGCCAGTTTTTGAGAAGAAAGAATATTCTACGACGGTGATGGAATCTGCAAAATATCCCGAGAGAGTTTTGACAATTAAAGCTGTAGATGCAGATTCTCAAAGAACAAAAGATGACAAAGAACTAGGATTTGGTGATGTTGTTTACTCTTTAGCGGGACAACACGCTGATTTTTTTACGATTGATCCGGTTTCAGGTGTTATATTAGTGAGTAACTAAGAGTATTATAGACATTTTCATCTGATTAAATTATCAACTTTTTAAATTAGGTTTATGTCCAATAAATTCAGTTTTGTATCATTTTTTCTAGATTGCTCCAAATCGAACACTTGACTGGGAAGTCCAATCAGTATTGAGATTTTCCGTTATAGCCCGGGATTCTCCAAAAAGTTCTTTGGATGCAAAAACAAGTTCGGCTTTGGTAAGAGTTGATGTTCTAGATGTGAATGATAATGCGCCTAAATTTATGCTAGGAAGAATATATGGGTAAAAATTAAATAATATAATGAAAACATCAACAATTTGAATATTACAAAAATCAAATTATTTTAGCTGTAATTCCTGAGAATATACATAAGGGTTCAAGTATCATAAATATCACAGCAACAGATCCTGATGATGGACTCGGTGGTGATATCAAATATGAATTTCTTGATGAAGGCGATGCCAATGGTAAATCATTTGTGTATTTCCAAAAATACATTTCATACAACTTTAAATATATTACAGGATTACTAGAAATCAACGCAACAACAGGTGAAATCAAAACTAAAAGTGTTTTAACTGGTAAAGGCAGAAATGAACCTTATTTACTTACCATTAGGGCACAAGATGGTGGTTTATTGGTAAATTATCTTAAGATAATTTTTATTGTGTTGTTATTATTTTTGACTATTATTACAATTATTTTAGGGTTTGAGTGATAAAATATTACATACAGATACTTCTTTAACATTATACATCGGCGATGTGAATGTAAATGATGGTGTGCCAGTTTTTATAAAACCTGCAGTAGACCAACCAGCATTTATCAGCGAAGTATATATTTTATAATCAATCTCTTATTTATACCATTCATTGAATTTACAATATTTTAAAACATTTTTATAGAATGCGACTATTGGTTCACCAGTATTTCAAGCAGTTGCTTCTGATCCTGACGATCCGTCACAACCTTCAGGAAAATTGATATATAGTATTCAGGATGATACAAGTGACACATTAGCTTTTAAAATAGGTAATTTAATATTTTGTAAACGTCAATTTTATTGTAGTTATCATTCTATTGATCTGTAATAATATTAAATTAATTTGATACATTACTACCCTGATAGATCCAAATAGTGGGCTCATCACAACTACTCGAGCACTAGATAGAGAAGCCAAAGATTCCTATAATATAATATTAGTGGCTTCCGATAGAGGATCACCTCCTCAAGTCGCCACCAGAATTTTGAAAATCAAAGTTACAGATGTTGATGATCATACGCCACGATTCCAAAGAGATGTGGTAAAGTATTTATTAAGCACATATTTCTGTTTATTCTGATGAAGATTTTAACATTATATTGATGTTGATCTAGGATGCACCACCATTGAAAATGTCAATAGAAGAAGAGCAGCCGAATGGCACAATTATTGGCAGTTTTAAAGCTATGGATGAAGATATTGGTGAAAATGGTGCCATATCGTATTTCATTAAGGCAGTCGAAATAATAAGTTTAAAATGTAAAATTCTGCATATTTATAATATATTTTTTGTTGTACTACTTTTAGATGGTAATGAACATAATCTGTTTTATATTGAGCATGCAAGGAAAATACTGCTAACTTGAGAACTAATGGTAGACTAGATCGAGAAGACATTAGTCAGCATCTTTTGACTATAAAGTGTTTTCCAACAAGATCAAAACCAATTCATGGACTGCGAAAGCATATAATAAATTGGTAAGTTATTTGATTCAATAGTTATCTATATTTTATCAAGAAAATTATAATAGTTACGACTAGTTTTTAATTTTGGCATATTTTTTTATCTAGGATCCATCAGAACTGCAAGTATCGATTTTGGTAGAGGATATCGATGATCATTTGCCTGAATTCGATCAACAACAAAATTTAACTCTTGGAATCCGATTAAATGTGCCTGCTTATACATCTTTGATCACTGTTCATGCAACTGATGAAGATTCTGATTCAGGTCCAATGAATTATACTCTGTACGATGTTGCATTTGAATCACCACTTTTCGATTATGAATTACCAGGTAAGCAGACTGGATTTATTAATTTAAAATTAAATTAGATTTTTTTACAATTAGTTGTTAAATCATATACATTTTATCTGAATATGGCTTTACTATGTCAACCAACGGTTTGTTTTAAAGAGACCAACAATAATTATAAAATTGAAATTTGGAAGAAAAATTCAAATAGCAAATTATCTAGTGCTAGATTGTTTGGTGCGCTTAGATATTAATGTAGGAAAATAAAATATTTAGAATTTCTATTATCATTTTTAAAATTTAAATTTAAATTAACCAGATCAATTTTTTGGTATTCTTCTAGGGCTCCGAGCATCATTTGCCTTGAATTCAGTAACAGGTGACTTGAGAACTGCAGGAAAGCTTGTAGACTTTGTCGATGGATTTTTCAGGTATTATTATAATATTTATCAAAATAAAAAGAAACTATATGCTTCACAATACTTATATTTGATTTTTTCCAGTCTAATCATACGAGCTAATAATTCTATGGATCCTGAACGTTATTCAGATCTGTATATACAGGTACGATAATATAATTCATAAAAATCCTAAATATTGAAAATGACATAATAAATTGAGTCAAAAATTTATTATGATATTTTTATTACAGCTGTACATAGTTCGTGATCGATCTTTGTTAAGATTTGTCTTCACAAGACCCCCCGTGATATGGCAAATCATCTTGATGCCTTTACAAAAGATGTTCAGAATGCTCTTAAAAAAGCAGATGTTTAAATGAAGAAGAATTATCGCAGATGTAAATTGCATGTATATGACACACAAGTACTAGTGAAGAAAGACCAAAGTCTGGATTTTGGCTCCTCAAGGTAAAAGATCATGATGATCAATTTTTATTTATTTTCTTAGTTGCGATATCTTGTTCTATAAATTTAATTTAAATTTAATATTTTTATAAATTTAATTTTGTATCCTTACTTTTATGAGTCGTTCTATATTTATTTTATTTTACTAATTATCAACTATTGTTTTATACTCGATATCTAGTAATTTCATTTCGCAGGAGTAAATGTGGATTAAAAATATTACAGAATAGATGCGACACATACATATATATATTATCGTTACAATTTCTAGACATTTTTTATATATATTTTCAATAACAATTATAATTGACCTTCATAAATTTTATTATCAACAGCAAACATTTTTAGAAAAATATAATTAACTTGACAATTTCAATTGATCAATCAGTTGAGCGTATGATTTTAAATATATGGAAATGCTTCAACAAATTTATTACAAATCCATAGCAATATCAGCAAGTCAAAATTTAAAAACAAAGGCAAAATAAGTTTACCACAGGAAATGATTTCTATAACAAGTGATATATTATTAGCATATAACATCCTTTGCAATGTCTTCGGGAAAATCTAATTCAATTTGAACGTTTTATGTCTAATAATTGGTAGAAGCAGTTTTATGTCTAATGACTAGTAGAGAGCAAATATTCTAAAGATGCTTTTAAAAATCGGCTAAAATATATTCACATTAAACTTCATAAGTTTGATAAGTTTTATATATGTGTGTGTATATATATATATATATATATATATATATATATATATATATATATATGAAACTATCAAGGCGTGCCATGAGTATATAATATTAATTTTATGCTATGCTCTTCCACCTATATTTAATTCTATCTGTTGATAATACTACAGCTGTTTTCAAGGCTAAGATGCTCTCATGTTTCAAGGACTCATTTGTAAGATTTATTGAATATAAACATTCAATCTCATTAAAGTATAATATATTTCATTTTTCTATTTATGGCTTTTATGGTTTTCGAATCAGAAAAAATTTTGCCAAAATTTTAATGAAATTTACTCACTAACCAATTAAAACAAAAATGGCGTATAAGTCAAGATTTTGAAGCAAGAATAAATAACTTTAATTTAATTTAATCTTAATAAGAATTTTATATAATTATATTACCAATTGGTGTCTCTGTTGGTATTTCAAAATGTAAGAAAATATGTCATCATTTTACTGAATCATATATAATACAACAGAAATAGTGGTTTGCTCATACATCTATATATAGTACATCGATTAACTCAATTTTATTGTCATCCATTATCGAATTTCATAAAAAAATTACTTAGGTAAACAATGATATCTTTTTTGTTTATTGAATTACTGGTGTTAGATAAAGGCTTGTTATAAAAACCACTGTTTCCGGGTTTAACACCCAACCTAAATAATAGAACTATATTTATATTTCGGATGCAGGATCAGACTCATTACAATAAAAAAAATAATTAAATTAATATTAAATATCTTGGAATTCTTCTAACGGTCAAAAATTTTTCTATATCTAAATATGATCTCCGGTGAAAATAGCCTTTTGGGACTTTGCTCGAGATCAAATGTGGGAAACCAATGTGTTGCCTTCTAGTAACACTAGATGAAGAAAACACATCACCAAATCATGGAACATATTTAAAAATATGCTAAGAACACATGTTCTGATCGTTTTCAAAATATTCGATTATTGAGGCACCTTCTATATATTGAAGTTTATTAATAAGATCTGTGTCAAGACCAGTTCAAGGGCTACGTTTGGCTTTGGACCACTCGAACAGAAAACTGTTGTCTTTCAAAACCTATTCATTTCATGGCAATAAACTCTATCTTTAATATCAACTGTTAAAGCAGTACAATATTTATTATGATTTATATTCGACCTCGTATAAGCTGAGTTTGACAAACCTGATGCAAACTCGAATATTGCACGTGTTTTAATATATGCAGATGTCATAATATGTGTGCTCGTGCATATCATACGCTTATCGTATAGGTAGCCATTTAGTGTCTAGATAAAACTAGTTTTATTTTTGCTTAATTGTAATTTTAAGTATCTCTTAATCTACCTAAGTGACAGAGGTCAGAGTTGCTTGAACAGGAAAATGTTGACTCGGCAAAAACTTTTAAGTAGATCATAAAACGATACAAAAGCTAGCTGGGTTCTGGTCGAAATAAGTACCTATTTTACTCATTATAAGTTTTTATTTTTGCCAGAAAATTCGTTTTGCTATTTTTTTATGTTTTTGTGACGTTTCAAGTCATTCTGAGTTTGGCACCACAAGTAGAAAAAGTATATATGTGTGTGAGTAAAAATTGGCAAAAGTATGTGTGTAGTATTTGAGCCAAAATTTACCTTTCCTCGACGTTTTCTCAAGAACGTGCACTAATTTTTGAAATTTAAAAGCTATTTGATGAACTTCGATAAAAACTTGCATGAATTAGTCTTACCACATGATTTGCCAAGACTTTTTTTTAGAATTAGCAGAATTTACAAAATCTTGAGCCAATTTTGAAAATTCAAAAACAGTTTGATCATACTGTGTTTGGTGAAAATTGACCGTACCTTTTCTTCGTTATTAATTTTTTTTTGTTCATTTTAACTTTGATGATGATGATGAGGTTCCTTATCTGAACTAATAACCTAAAATATCATAGGCCTACTAAAATCATATAAAATTTGTGTTTGCTATTAATGAGAATTTATTAAACAATAATGAAAGCCTTCATATTACCATGAGTAAAATTATCGCCATTAAATTATAGTACAGTAAGATTAATTTATAAAATATTTTACTTCACGTTTTATTGCAGATTATAAATTTTCATTTCTACTTTATAAAATTTTTACTAAAGCCACTATGAAGAATATTATTATAAAAATTGTCATAAGTACAGAAACAATAATATTCTAATATTGGACAACCCAGTAGTTGTCGATTCCAATTATGACTAATTAATTATACTCGAAATATTTGCTAAAAATTTTTATTATATTTATGCAACTATACCCTCGAGAGGCGATATTTACTTGAGATTGGACAAAGATTCAAGTATTATTTTGGTTTTTTACTGTTAATTGATGTCAAACCAAATGCGTTAGGAAGTAGTACATAATTTGCAATTTAACCGAATTAAATAGAGAATACCGTTTCAGAATAATTATAGAAAACAAAACCTCAAATGCCTCCAACTTTGGAATCTGATTTACATTCAAAATATTACAGGGGGGTCAAAGTTCACATGAAAGTAACTGAGGAATAAGTTAATTTTGAATATCCTGTGTTAGAATTTTATCACTTATGCTGTATTCCACTAGAGTTTCTTTAATCAAGATATTTTATAATTATGGCTAAAATTATTAATTCATTGATCTACTTGATTATTTATTTGCTGGTATATTGACTTTACAAACACGCGACCTTCAAACTGTCTTAGACAAATAAAACCAGTCTTTATTTATATCTTGGGTATATTTTGATAAATTTCTAAAAAAAATATATACATACATACAACATTAACTGGCTGAATACAACACACACAAAATAACAGACTTAGTAAACATGTACAATATAAATTAAAATAACAAATTTTGTAAAATAACAATTCAGATAACTGGTATTTACTTTAATAATGACCGATAAAATAATATACGATGATCTAAATTTAAACAATACAATCTACTTATCACCCTGTGTTCATATGATGATCAAAAACAAACAATGATGTTTGGATTAAAGGCTAAGAATATCTATTACTAATATCCTGAGGCAAGAGGAAATATATATATATAATATATATATATATATATGTATATATATATATATATGTATTGTCTTGCGCTTTACGAACTAGTATGTAAATATCACGGTTATATATAATAGAATATTAAGCAATAAATATATTTTTCTAATGTTCTCGTCAATCAACGTCGAAACATATGGAATTAACTCACACACAAGTACACTGCACATAAATAACTTTCTTAAACATATTATTACATATACATCACATCGCACAGCTGAGCGTTTTATATACAATCACTTCATGTTCATGTTACTAGGCACTGTTCGCGATCGCGACCGTTGACGACCACAGTACTCAAATAGACCTGTTGACGTTTCAGCAAATATTTCCTTCGCAAATCTTCAGAATCCGAATCTTTTATTTTGCATATCACAGCATCGTTCAGCCAATCGAATTCGCTCGGATCGATTTTCTCGACCCTTGAGAGTTTCTGATAAATCCGATCGAACTGCGTGTGTTTATCTTTCAACCGGAGTCGTTTTAACCGGAGCGGCATGTGCCAGCGAAGGTACGCCTGGAGAGACATTTTGACCCGTTTCGTTAAGGTGATTGGGTTTTTAACCGAACATTTTTTTGTGTCTTTTTTAATGTTATTGTTGGAATCGACGCGATATATTTTCATTGTGGAACCGAACGTTGTTTGATTGCCAAACGTCGCGATTCAGACTGAGAACGTGTGCTCGGGCCGAGTGCTTCTCGCCTCTAGAATTATGCTTCATTAACTGACTGAATGCGACGTTATCTAATATCGATACACTTGCGGGTTGCACGTAATGCACACAAACTACATTTCTATATACATCAAATAGTCGATTTCGAACTCGCACTATTGTGAGCGGGCATTTCGAATTACTTCACGTTTTGAAGGTTGATCGACCACTGCAATTTCTATTACGGACAGATAAACATCTTGTCAGTTATCAGGAAGGGATATATTTGGTTTTGCATTCTATTGTTCAAACATGCACAAACTGAATAATTGAAATACTATTTAAAATATCATTTTTATCGATTTCCTATTACAAACATATATAATGACTATTTAAAATTTATATAAATTATTTATATAACTAGTTGTAACATGTTGCATTTTGCTTTGTGGCATGATGCATTAATTTCTCAATACGTATACATAATCAACTATGTATTTTTTTAATTCTATTGGTCTCGCTTACATGGAGCATTTAGCCACCTACAGCATTTCATTTTTCTATTCTATATTATTTTTTAACTTCCCGTAGGATAAGTTATTGTAATGGGCCGAAAATCGAAATTGAATATTTTTACATTTCTCGACGTTTTGAAGGTTTCTGAACATTTTGGCATACCTCAGAAAAAAATGGATGTGTGTGTATGTATGTATGTATGGATACAAATTTTTAGTCACGTTTTCGGGCGCACGGATCAACCGATTTGATTGGTTCAAAAAACATTCGATTCCTATTGAAAGGGAGAAGAGCTGATTAGTTTTTGGTAAAGGCAGGCCCAGCCATTTCGAAGATACGGAGCTAAATATGTAAAAAATTGTAGTTTTTGAGAGAACTAAGCGTTCGATTTAAATGATTCAAAGAACTTTCTGCTTGTCTTAACAAAGTAATTGATTTTGGAAAAAAAAGATTTGTTTCAACTTTATATTTATATTATATTAAACAATGTTACAATATTAATAATAATCTATTTGAAAACATTCAGTATTCCTCGAACATTTTGTTACGGTACGGGAAGTTCCAGCAATTTGCCTTAAGGCACGATGCCATACACCCCACTAGTTTCAATTTATTTTCTCACTTATTTTCTATACAATTTTAAATCAACAATACAAATTCTAATTAATTTTAACTCAACATTTCAAATTCTAACTCAAGATATTTATTTACTTACATTTACTCTTTTTAAAGGCGTCTTCTATTAATTTGTTTTACATTATCTTAATTTTACTAATTCTTTTTCTTCTGAATCCATCTTTTTCATTCTTTTACTAATGCTATTGCGTCTTCTTCTAATTATGTCGAAATTTTTGCTTGATACTGTTTTTTTATACATCATGTATACACACATTTTTTCCAAATTTGATCTCATTCGATGCAGAATGACTTGAAACGTCGAGTAAACATAAACGTCGAAATTTTTGCTTGATACTATCATTTTATTTATCATATAAACACACAAATTTTTTCAAATTCGGTCGCATTCGATTCAGAATGACTTAAAACGTCAAGTAAACATAAAATTAGCAAATTAGATTTTTTTCATGTAATGTTTCTAACCTTTTATAAAGAACTTAGTGACTCATAAGAAAATCCGAAAAATGATTCATTGCTTCAAGGTTTATTATATAAATCATTTTATAAGTAGTGTATGTGTATCTATATGCATATATGTATATATATACATGCAAGAAAATATCTTTTCCTCAATTACAGTATCGTTATTTTCAAAATACAGCTAGGTCTTACTTTTCATTCGTTTCGATGCATTTTTCTAAATCGACTTTCTAACTTCAGGTGCACATGTAAATTATCAATACAGAGTAAACGCAATAGCGGTTTTCTATTACTATAGAAATATTTCTATAATGCTTTCATAATTATGCAATTGCATTGGTGCCTAGCTGTCTTGCGATAAGATAGACACTTTGATAAGATCGAATTAAATATTGGATATTTATAGACATTTTTTAAATTTTTCCTCAAGAAGTAGTTGAAAAAATTCAGGAGCCAATGTAGGTAGTTATCAATCATTAGTACAATGAACATGGAAATATGGTAATAAAAAAAAATCTTTAAGTTTACAAATTAGAAGATAGGGTTTGCCTGTAGGTAAGCGGTTAAGAGCGACGAGACTTGTTTCAGAGATCCCGGGTTCGAGCCCACTTCGAGCAGCCTGTTGTCAGGCAGCAGTGACAACGATTTTCACTTGAAAATATAGATAGCAATATGTTTCCAAGTGCAAATAACCCTTGCCCGGCATTGCTGCACCAATAATAAGTCAGCCCTATTACATTAATTCTAATAACAAAATCATCAATGATAGATGGATTAACCATTGGGTTACCATCTAAAAAATACGAAGTAAGGAGAAGTTTCAGCCCAATAGCTCATAGGACGTAAGGTTCTGATTGCTGTTATAATATATATGTAAAAAAAGAAGTAGTTGAAAAAATTCAGGAGCCAATGTAGTTATCAATCTTTAGTCAATGAATCTAAAAAATATAGTAATAAAAAAATCTTTAAGTTTAAAAATTGACTCTCAACCTAGAAGATTGAAAAAGAAGAAACCAGTGGATCTCCTTTAACTTTAACTAGTGATCCTCAATTGAGGGCTATTTGCCATATCAACTTTTTATACTCAAGTAAAACATTACTTAAATTAATATTGAGCCTAAGAGCCATAGACCAACAATATATCCTGATCGCTCTTAAACAATGTAAAAAAAAGTTACATAACGTTTGGAGATCTTCAACGAGTAGATTCCTTTATAAAATTAATCTGATCCTAATTAACTTAGTTCACCAAGTCTGAAGGCCAATTTCTTCAGCCTCATTATTGATTTCAAGTTATCAATCTATTTATCATTGTTAATCCTATTTGTTACAGTTCTTGTTTCCAATTAACGCGTCCTGGTGGTACGGCCTTAACTCCTGGACAGATGCTCGCCGTACTCGAATCACCAGGAGCCAAGGCAGATTTGCAGCGGGTCTATCGTGAACATCGTGTGAAAGCCGTCGAGCAATGTGCTACCAGGTCTGGTGCACGTGCTTCTCCTGAAGAAAGTACTGCACAGGCTGCAGTACTGACAATCGCGCTGGCCATAGGCCTGGTGGCTGCTGGAGCAGCTATATCGTTATGCTGCATGCATTGCAGGTAGAAGTAGGAACAAATTTATAAGTATTAGGTTGGCAACTTGCGGATTTGTTAGATATTTAAGGACATTTTGTTCATGGGACTAAATAATTATAGTTTGTAAGGAATTTTTCATATTGATCATTGTCTTTTTCCCAAGCAGCATCATCATCTCACTTTCATAAAACTTCTGGTTTGTTTAGCAAAAACTGAATCAGATACGATTTTACACCATCATGATCCTTGATTTGTTTACCATTCAAGGAGTTTTGTATAGATCGAAACCAGTGGTGTTGTGCTAATATTTTTTTGCCGGAACGCTAAAATTTAAAATCCGGTTCAAAAAATTTGATATATTTCGATAGAACTCACAAATCTAATATATTGACTTCTTATATAATTAACTTTATTATATACAGCTAGTCTATAAATTAAATTGTACAAGTATGAGGGAATCATTGAGTACATAATTTATATTCTTTAATAACATTAATTATATTTATTGTGGTATTATTTGTATTCATTAATACTTACAGGTATTTATTATGATATAAAAGTACTCAAGATTTATTACAATACTTTATAGGACTTAACCTAATAATACGATAGATAATATAACCTATTACCTATCTTACTATACTATATTATTGTATATCATAGGTAGATATCTATTATCAATCATACCGTGAGATACCTACAACGTCATTGACTTATTATATACCTACATACTTTTTACTTCTTATAAATATTACTGTCTAATTTATATATTTACCTATATTATATAGGTTTACCTTACGCCCTATGTATTATCTCTACCTATCTATTGTCTATACCGGGAATTGAACCCGGGACTTCCGCGTGGCGGTCGCGCACCTTAACCACTACCCTATCAGGTACCCCATTAATAATATAATATGGGACGCACTGTTGTTTCCGCTGGTCATTTTCTAATTAATTAGGTAATTAATACTAAGGTGGCGCGACGACACGCGAAAAAAGACGGTTGATTGTAGCGTTACGGTGGCCTAGTGGATAAGGTCGTCGCGTGCCACGCGGCGGACCCGGGTTCGATTCTCGGTAGGGTTAATGTATCGTGTAAGGAAAATTATAGGTAATAGGATATATAGTAGATATAGGTTAGGTGTATTCGATATACAATGTAGGGATTTGAGAGTATATGATGAAATATAGCGTATGGTACAGATGTAAGGCGTGTAGTATAGAATGCAACGTATAGGCATACGTAAGGCTATAAAAATACACGAATAGGAACCTATGATATAGGTGTTAGCGTATAAAAAATGCGAATGAATATAAGATTTAACTTATAAATATTATTTTTTCTATAAGAATTTTTATCTCGGTATTAAATATCTAAAATATCCAAAATATCCGTTAAGGCATCGATTACACCTTACTGCTGTCTTTGCCGTTATCACTTCATAGAAAATTAATTACTGCACTTTTAAACGATTGTGTGCACTGTGCGACAATAGACATAGAACTATAAATTACATTAAATGTTTGAGTAACTTGTGCGAGCTGATTTTCTTAAGATGTTCTTAGTCTCGCAACTTACTGAATTCTAAAAATTCTAAATTTAAAAATATAATATAAAAATTATTATACCGCTGTCTGGAAGGGATGGCAATTTAAAAATATACAGATTAATACATACAAAATTTGGAATTTTTCTATAATCCGTAATATTGAGAAAGTTTGCATTAGACCTAAAAAGGGATGCTTATTTACCTAAGCTATGGAAATATATATGGAAAAATTATATGATTTGCACATGCATCCTGTGCTCACTTAAACTAAACAATGATCATAATATATTTAACGAATTTGTAACAGTATTTACAAATTACATTCAAATCACCCAAAGCAAGTGGGTTAAAGTCGTGTAATTTTTTAATTTGCCTCCCCCCTTTGAATTTAAAAATGGATTTTTCTGTGGAGCGTGTGCCCCACGTTGGGAATTACTAGTCTAGGAGTACAATTTTCTAATCTACTACCAGGTTAATCAATAATTGAGTGATCATCAATTTCACAGCACCTTCATCAGATTTTTAAAAGATCAAAGTTTCTATGAATATGCATACAAATCTCAAATTGTAGGCCGAAATTTAGACAATAAGTCTATTGAGATATCAGGGTAACTCTTTTGCTATAAATTGTCAACTAATTTACCAATAAATAAATGTCAATAAAATAATGATTAAAAAAAATTACCAATAAATGATATAATGTAAAAATTTACGAGCGATCGAAAGGCTTATATTTTTGCCTTAGATGGCAAAAAATTCATCCAATTATTAAAATATTACATTTTTTTTGCAGTTCTTATGCTTTTGTATTTATAGAATTGCTTTTTTCGCTACAATCAATTTCCATTATATGAATGTCTTAAATTATTTATTTTATTCGATTAACGCCCGCTATGTCCGAAACAAATCCATCTTATATCCGAAATAATCGGGCATCAGACACTTTTCGGTCTTAACGTAACATATGTGAAATTTGAACTGTATTGTAATTAATATTTCAGTTCATACACCTCAATTTGTACCTAAATTAAAAACGCAATAAAAAAAAGCAATTTCCTTTCAACTCGACAAACACAGTATTTTTCATCTTTGAGTAAAAAATCACTAGAACAAAATTCTTTAAAGCTTTGTCACCATATAATTTATTATTGTCGCTTTTAACTTGTCGTGATCTTAAGAAACCTCTTCACCTTTATAGAAATATAAGAACAAAATATGACAAAATTTTTGGATTTGATTTTTAATATTTCAACGAAAACTAAGCAATGGATCAAAAAAACTCTCTTCGCTGATGTACATCTAAATTGCTTACTATCCCTTAACAAAAGGTATTTTTCAGTTTTTTCATTAAAACATCTAAACAGAAAACCGCACTTACTTAGTTGCCAACCTAATAATATTATTATGTTCTTTATTGAAAATTAATTTTATTAGTTTTGCGCGCATTTTGTAGAAATTTTAAATCATGTAGTTTTTTGTAAACAAAACTTCTAAACAAAAGTAATTAATGATGAATAAAAATCGTAATTTATTTTCCATTCAAAGGATAACAACCCAAGATTGTTTTGCATTTAACTGCATGTTTCTACTCGCTTTATTTTGAAATATTTAACCAATATTTTTATAGCTTTATCAAAAGTTTACAATTAAAAAATAACATTTGACATTCGTGGCATATAGTAAAAACAATCACACATTGTTTTCGTATATAGCATGTAAAATAAGTTTTATACGATTTGAAAACAACTCAATTATATACGCATTGAACGCTAATATAATTAGATATGAAAAAATGCAACAAATAAAAGTCATATGATTATTAAGAAGAATTCGAGTAATTTTAAATATTAAATTCATTTAAGAATTTCAATATGATTCATTATTTATTCCCAAATATACATAGCTTTACTGTATGTACAATGTATAATTGTGCATAGTCATGACCAGGCCTCATTAAAATGCCATTAAAATTATTTCGATATTTTTCAAATTGTGGGCATAGATTAGGAGAAAAGCATTTGAAGCATTTCAAATTAAAATGCTTATTTTTAATGCAATTCTTATGATTTTTTTTTCAGTTATAAAAGGCATATGAAAAGAATGCGACCGCCACGTAGAAGATTTATTGAAGATATTCCAGGTCCTTCATCAACTTATCATGAACCTATATATGTAATAAATCCTGGATCGATACAACATAGCAGTTTGTGATAAAAAATTTTTTAAATAAATGTGAAAATCAAATATAAAACAGTTTATATATAACTAGCAAAGTGACATTGCAATATGTGTTGTTAATATATGTGAATAAACTAAAAAAAAACAATATAGATATTAGGGTATTAGTGCTATAATAATCAGACGTACTAAAAAATTATATAAACTTGTACGCATTGGAGTGCGATATAATGCTAAAATATATATTATAAATGTATATTTTTAGAAGATTTATTTCTGTTGTATATTATATTTATTTAGTTTAAAATATTTCAAAATGTTATTAACCGACCAAGTTACATATCAATTATTATTGTAAATGAACATTTTTTAAATTTTTTATTTATGTCATGTATACTTTATATATAGAATTTCATCCAGATGGAATGTGTCTATTTTAGTTGTTTAAATTAAATTATTCATATAATTCGTGTTGCCAATACAATTAATTTGTACATACAATTTCAGTGCCTAGTAATACTCGTAGAAGTTAGTATGCCCTAACTAATCCGATTAAGTTAAATATATATATTTATTATTGGTAACAGAATATTTATGTAAAAAAATTATTTTGTTAAGCTTTATATTTAATTGCATCATGAAAATAAAAAGGACATTTTTATAAATAAAATATTTATGTAATTGTTTTTTTAATGTTTAGTAATAAGTTACCAGAAAGACATGAATAAATCACATGAATTATGTTGCCCAATTTTATTATTGGAAAATTATTTTGTAAATTATTGATTTTGTTGAATTAATAGAATAAATTATGAAGCAATAGGCGTAAATCTATAAATGTAACACAAAAACTAATTTGGTATTAGCATTTTATTGTTGAGAATCATTCATATTTGTACTCGATTTGTATCGATTGTTAGGTTGATATTTATGTTTAATTCAGTTTTGTTGGTACCGATTGCAACCTATATCGATAAAAGTAAAATACTTCAGGTTGATCAAAAAATTCTTTCTAAAAAGGTCTGTTGACCCATTCAGAAGTTTGTGTCACTCGTGAATAGTATAATATATTTATTTTATAATGTGTTTTAGTGCTTGACTAGTGTTTATCAAATATGTGTGCAATCTGTGGTACTTTCGTGAAATTGTTTGATGAGGTGAGATTTAATATTTTATTTTATTATTATTAATGGTTTATTGATGTTGACATCTGAGTAGACCTATGTAGCTATTGCCGCCATTTTTATGATACACACCATACATTTTTAAGACTTGGGCTGACCACAAAATATTAGTAGATTAGATTAAACACTGCTATTATTTTTAGTTTATTCTAGTCTTGTTACAAATGGTTATACGTCCTTCCACAACACTATTTTTTTCAAAATGTAGTATTTTAGGGTGAAGGCAAAGAAAATTATTCAAAAAACACATTTATTTCCATAATTTATTCTATGCAAGAATAATTGTTATTCTATAAACGTACTATTTAACAACTTTGTCAATATTAATATTAGTACCACAAAATATTGGTAATTTTCTGATTTCTCGACATTTCAAGTCGTTCTGTATCGTTTGACACCAAAATTGGGTTAATTATATATGTGACTATAATTAATTAAGTAAGTTGACTCGACTATCTCAAAAATCGATGCACTGATATAAAAAATTTAAGACATTTGATAACTAGCATTGATTAGTTTTGAGCAACGGTCGGCCGAGCCATTTCTTTACAATTTCCAGATAAGTGTAAAAAAATTTTCACCGTTCGCCTAAAATCTTGAATTGGTTTGAAAAATTTTAAGTCTGTTAAAAGATATCATTTGGAAATCGTACTGTTTATGATAAAGATTGGCTAGAGACATTTCTTTTAATTAATTATTGAAAAAATGTCATTTACACCTAGTTTATTATAAAATTTAAGGCATTCGATATAGACTAGCATGGATTAGTTTTGTACAACGATCGACCAAGCCATTTCTTTATAATTTCCAGATAAGTGTAAAAAAAAATTCACGTTTTTGCCTAAAATCTTGAATTGGTTTGGAAAATTTTAAGACTGTTGAAAAGATTTCAGTCGAAAATTGTGATTTTTTTCGATAAAGATTGGCTGCGGACATTTCTTTTAATTAATTATTGAAAAAATGTCATTTACACCTAGTTAATTATAAAATTTAAGGCATTCGATAAGAACTAGCTTCGATTAATTTTGTGCATGGATCCGCCGAGCCATTTCTTTATAATTTCAGATAAAATCCTGAACTGATTTGGAAAATTTTAAGACTGTTGAAAAGATATCAGTTGGAAATCGTGCTGATTGTTTTTGATAGAATTTGACTAAACGGCATTTCTTTTAATTAAATAAGGACATTTATTTTAATTAAGGACATTTCTTTTAATTAATTAAGGATAATTCTTTTAATTAAGGACATTTCTTTTAATTAATTAAGGACATTTCTTTTAATTAATTAAGGACATTTCTTTCAATTAATTAAGGACATTTCTTTTGATTAATTAAGGACATTTTTCAATTAATTAAGGACATTTCTTTTAATTAATTAAGGACATTTCTTTTAATTGATTAAGGATATTTCTTTTAATTGATTAAAGACATTTCTTTTAATCAATTAAGGACATTTCTTTTAATTAACTAAGGACATTTCTTTTAATTAACTAAGGACATTTCTTTTAATTAACTAAGGACATTTTTTTTAATTAACTAGGGACATTTTTTTTAATAATTAAGGACATTTCTTTTAATTAATTAAGGACATTTTTGATTCATTGTTGAAAAATGTCATTTACACCTAGTTTATTATTGAAATTGTATATAAATTTTCGTTTTTAACATATACTTTAAAATTCATATATATTGAATATTTCATTGAACTTATTATTAATCTAAATCTAGGAGCATTATTATTTAAGCCTTGAACAAATGTAAACAAGCATTTCGCCATCATTTCAATAATTTGTTTTAGAAAAAGCATTCATAATAGTGTCATTGGAATTAAATTGACAAAATAATCACGTTTGTTGACTTTGTAAATAAATGCTGACTTGTAAACAAAGACGTCTGCAAGGTACAGTCATCGCTGAAGTATTGAACAAAACAAAAAAAAAGTGATAAATGGAAAATTATAATTCTTTATCTGAATTATTGTATTAAAACGATTAAATCAATTCATTTTACAAATTGTGAAATATAATTATTTATCTAATTAACCGAAATAGTTATACATTTATACATCAAGTATATGAAAACAGTCGTATACATAGCCGTATTGATCTCATTTGTCCACGAGTCAGGTTGGCCGAGCGGTCTAAGGCGCCAGATTTAAGCTCTGGTTCCCGAGAGGGAGCGTGGGTTCGAACCCCACACCTGACATTAATTTTTTCTTTTTTTTTCTTTGCATATATAATTTTTTTTGGATTATAATTTTGAATTTATCAGTAATTTTGCTTAAATTATTTATATACTAATTATTTATCCACTATTATTAATTTTTTGCTGAGTAGGTTATAGTAATTCAGAAATATCTAAAATGAAAACGTTTGCATAACTTTACGTTTCAAAGGATTCTGAACATTTTGGCATACTTTAAAATAAAAAGGATATATGTGTCTGTGTGTGTATTTTTTTAAAATTCAATAATTACAATCTGTCTTTATACAAAAAAACACGTTAAGCGATTTTGGTGATACATGGATAATTAACATCTATTCTAAATGTTTACTCAATAGTAAGCCTTCTATACATTGATAAATAAATTATGTTGAATTGCTGTCATGTAAAACTTCAAAAATATAATAAATATTATTAAAAATAATACCAATAATAATAAAATGAATAAATTTACATAAAAATGCCATAAAAAATAAATAAAAATAAATTTAGAAGTAACTATAACTATAATAATTCGAGTGGGCGTTTTCTTTTTAGGAGTGTGTGTGTATGTGTTCAAATTTTCACATTTTTCAAATGCTATCTCAACTATATTTATAATGCTTTATAGCAACTTTCTAACTTTATAGGGAATATTCCCTATAAATTTCAGCACCTTGAATTTTTTAAAGAAAAAGCCAAAAGTAAAAATATGATGCTGTATTTTGTTTTTTTTTTGTGATTTGTTCTTTAACAATTAAGAGTATTAAATTAAATGATATATTCTATATTCTTGGCTAAATGACAATTCTTCTACTTCTTTTTTGAACTCTTAAAACCTTTAGAATTTTATCAACTATTTTTTCTAAGTCATATAACTCGAAACCTATTTGAACTAAATTCATAATATTTCTGTAGCAGCTTTCTAACTTGATAATTGAATATACAATTATCTATTCTGTAAATATTACCTAAATCTGCGCAATTAAAATTTTTAACCAAAAATCGCAAATTTATTGCATGGTCTCAATTTGGTATAATGAAATAAACAAATTTAAATCAAATGATATTCACAAATCTGAATGAGCAAATTCTTCTATGTTATAAAATATCTATGAATTTCTGTATGTATGGCTAACTGCTATATAGGCGATAATAATCGTGAAAAGTTATACACTTGTTATATTTTATAATCATATACCTGCATAATCTAATTAAATTGATCAAAAGTTAAAAGGCTTATTACTAGGTAACCTTTCAGAACTTTTATTCGATAGTAATTATAACACATAATTCTTTATCTAATAATGTTAATCGGTCACATATCTCAAAATCTCTCCTCGTTAAACAGATATTATTAAAATAATATATTATTTTAGTTTAACTTTAGATGAATTTTGATTGTATACATTTATCGTGGGTAATTTTTTCAAAATAATAAAAAAAAACATTTTAGAAGTATTCTCAAACGATGTTAGGTTCATCTTAGACCCGAGTCGTTTTTTATGATATGTTTAAAAAATATATTATAATACTTAAAGTTGCATTTAATATGGCCACTTGTTAATTTTGAAGACTGATTAATCAATTTTTTAACAAAAAACTTTTATTCATTATTTACATGTCCATATGTATTGAGAAAATGCAATGGTGCCATTGCTTTTAAAAATAGTATGTTCGGGCGCAAATGTCTTTATTATTATTTTTATTTTTGCATTTTTATGCAAGTATTGAACACATTTTGTTTCTCACATATCATTTGTAAATCAAATATTTGATTAGAAGCCATAGGACACATTTATTTGCACAAATGTTTTATTAAATCCTGATTTGATTTAGTAATATTTGGTTTCCACTTATATTCAGGCTTTATTTTAATGTAGTGCAGATAAGATATGAATATTTGCACTTATTTCAATAACTCAATCATTTTTTCTACTAGTGTGAAAATTGCAAATATGCAAAAATAGCAAAATTGCTATAAAAATAAAATTTTTATATAAATAATATAAAAATAAAATTAAATTTATAGCGATCAATATTTCTTCTAATAATATACACCATAGGCTTTTCATTTACACACCTTTGTATTTTGTACAGATCAACATACAATATAAATTTTAAATCCATAGTATTTTTAATATGAAAAAATATTTTGCGTTATATGTGTATGATATTTAATGTTACTTAAAATTTAATTTCACCATGATATAATACTTTATTGGAAAACAGCAGAACAAACCATTTCCTATGTCAATATCGAGTATTTAAAAAAAGGCAGCATTTACGAATTAATTTAGTTATTTTTAAAAGGATTTTATATAAACGTGTAATTAATTAATTATTGGTGTGAAAATCTAAATTCAATATATATTGCATTAAAAATATTCATCATAAGAACTGTAACATAGTGAGAGAAAAAGCCTACATTTGCTCCTTAGTAAATGTATTTCATTGAAATAAAATATTTTACAGTTCAAACACTGTTCTAAAAAAAACTACTTTACAATTTTATAATCATATAAATTTTGTCTTCGTGTCCAATCAGGTCTTTTATAACAGTCTTCTAAACAACAATGGTACTGGAATCTCCAATGGGTTGTCCTTTTGCAAATGGTAATTCCTTGTTAGTTTTGTTCAAGAAGATACCTTTAGCTCTGTAATATAATATTAGTAAAAATAAATATTTCATTACAATGTATGAAAAAAATGCAGCAACAATGGTGATGATTTTGAATTATTTTACTTTTTGGATTATTCTTACTTATTGTGATTGGTTTCAACTCCTCTGAGTGTTCCCATTGGCATCATTTCATTGATAACGTGGCAAGTTCCATCAACCAGCTCATCATAACTTAAGCAATTCCATGACCAAAAAGCTGCCTTAGAGGACAAAGATTCAGTAAAGTATTGGAATGAACGGCTATGGGAACAAGAGCCTGGAAATAAAATGATTTTAGATACATAGTCTTGGTAATGATTGTCAAATATTTCAATTTTCTTACCAGCAAAGTCGTTTTCGCAGCCGACTTGTTTTTTGCCTCCGTTGGGGTAGAAGTCAGCATGTCCCAAAGGTTCCAAAAATCCTAAAGTTCCACCATTAGTATGAATAATTTCTACGTATTCTGCGCTGTTTGTGTCAATACGTTTTTCGGGGTTGCTGATTGAGAAAAGAGGAAGGGCAGGGTCCAAGCCTAAATAAGTCCAAAAATGGAAAATTGTTAAATATTCCTAGCTAGAAAATCAAGTACTGTAAAAAAAAATCGGGGCGGGTATTGAAACTGAAACTTCTGATAGTTGACAATCTATCTATTATTTTACTATTTCTTGTTTCACCTACCTACAACAGTATGGATTTTTCCACTCTTTACATTTCTTCCAGCAACTCCAACAACATGTGCTCCAAGACTGTGTCCTGCCATGTGGACATCGTTGGTCTTGATTCCTGCATTTTCTGCTAAAAAAGTCGATCATTTCGGCAACTTTTAAGGCAGTTGGAGTCACGGCGTTTACTGCACTGATGTAGTTGATGGTGTTGGAAGATGCAGTCCAATCTACTACGATTACGTTGAATTCTCCTTGTTCAAGGTAAGCTGCATGGTAAAATTAGTAAAATTGATTTACTTTTCTTGATTGTTTTTCGAAACGATGTGAAAAATTTGAATGACATTATTACCATCTACAATTTTTTTCTGGCACTGATAAAAAATGTCATTAGTTCGGTATATTTAACATTTTTGAAATCTACTACTTCTAAATATCTTTCGATTTTGTTTATAATAAAATATATTATATTTACAATAGAAGTTTAGAACTTGTGCACAACGGTGTGCATCCATGCGATTTAATCCCTTCATCCCCTAGTATATTCAACCCATGATATATAAAACCAAAAACATTTTAGCTATGGTTATTCATTTTTGTTTTCACTAAATAATATTTGATTCTAAAATTTTCATTATGCTGAAACCCATTTTTTTTTAAAAATATTAATATTAGGAACGTTTCTTTCTATTTTCTTATGTGACTTTGAACAAAGAAAAGTTTCTGGTTTGATATTGATTTGGAAAATTTTATTACCTTCACGTATGATACTGTTAAAAGGATTGTCTTGTTCAGACATCCAACCGTGTACTGTAAATCTTGTAGGATGAGCAGGATTAAAATTGGAATTTTTCAAATTTTCTTTGTCACCCAATACCAAAACCTGGGCAGTGTCTGGGTTTGACCTGTAGATAATTTATATAATTAGTTATCAATTTTTCATATAATTGATACATATAAAAACCAAGAATATAATTATGTATTTGGTCTAATATTCTCATAGAATTTAGTGGTGATTTTTGGTTTTAGTGAAGTTATATTTTACCTTGTGAATAAATTGAAAATGACTGGTTTCTCAGTAGCCCTATTAGAAGGATCATCAGCTCCTTTTAAATTGATCAGATACAAATTTCCTCGACTGTCAGGAAAATACATAGTATCCTTATTTTCATAAGAAAATTCATTTTTGCTTAGAGGATTGCCAAATCCTGTAAAATTTACACCAATTTTAACATATCAAATAAAATTGTCAAGTATGAGCTCACACAAATTTTGTGTAAATTATGTCGTTATATTACCTCCAGCAATTAAAGCGGCTGACAATACTACAAATTTGAACATTTCTGTATTTTAAAAACTCAACTGATTTGCCCAAAACTAAAAATCGCTCTTTTTATATCATTTCGTTTATTGCAGGCGCCTATTATCAATTATAATGATTTATTGCAGTTTGATAATTATCTATTTCTTGTTGTAGCTTACTTTTTATTGCATTCTATATCTATATCACACGTCATAATATTTATGATGATAATAAAATATATAATTCCTTCTTCAGTATAGAAAATCGAGTTTTTATATTATCAATTTTTAATTTGATTCAAAAGGTAATAATTGATGTAGTCTGAAATAATCCTTTAAAACGTAATAAATCGATATCATTTAAAGTATTCTTGGATTAGTCTAATGTTTTTATTATACTGTTATTGGTTATACTAAAATCATTTTGTTTTCATCTTTTGCAATAAATCATTGTTAATTTTAAGTACAATATTGTTTACTTAGCGATATCTGTGAGAACAATATTTTTAATTCTTGCATCATAACAAAATCATAGAAGCTTTTTATTTTTTAATTTTTATTGCTTTTTTAATTCATTTTATATTTTATGCCATTCTATTAATATTTCACTTATTAAGTTCACGATTATAAAGTAATTGTGTTTAAAATCGAAGGTTCTGCGTAAGTAATTGTAACAAAGTGAAATAATATAAGAATTTAATACTTGAATAAAATTACATATTTTTTCTAAAACTCTAAAACATTTCTCAAATTACAAATTGAAGACTTTAAAGTAGTTTGAGATATTCATTGCTTTCTTCTTGAAGTACGTAGATTGTGCAGTTCTGTAATTTTGAATCTACTATCTTAAATCTTTGAATTTAAAATTATTAATCACTAATTACTAAATTTAGTAAGCATTAGATCACATCGTATTCTAATATTGTCTAAGCGTTAGATACAAAAAATTGTAGATCTGTTTCTTATAACAATCAAAATCTCACTAATTTTGTCATTTCCTACGAAATGGAAAAACTAAACCTACCCACAGAAAACTTCTGGAGCCCGCAGAAAATGTAACCAGGAAAATTAATTTAGCTCTGCATATTTCCAATTTAAAAATTGATTCAAATTTTTTCTATGTACCGTTATCAAAATGTAAATCGGATTACACATGTTAAGTACAAGCATTTAGGGGTGTACATGTATTTAGTTAGTATACTGTTCCATCTGAGCAGAAATAGGGGCTACATATCAATCAACTTTCAAAAAGTGTACCTTGTTCAAAATGTAACTATTGTATTCGCAAATGGGTTACTTGCGGAGGGATGACCGATTTTGAAAATATTTGAACTTTGTAAGCCGAATTTAAAATACCGTGTTTAAATTCGCATTATCAACAACAATAAACTACAGCTTTGCTGTTAAAAATATGTTATAATATTTTAAGACTAAATTTATTTTTAGTTTTTCATCCCGGTGACTTAATTTTTTTTTATTTATGATAAATATTTGACAATAAACAACTATATCTTTGCTATTAAAAAAATAATATGTTTGAACTAAATAGTTGTTCATCCTGGTGACTACTAGATAATAGATCTTATATTATTTTAATCATGTTTAATTTTGACCAATAAACTACGTTTTGTTATCAAAAACTATATATTTTATTCATTTTTGCTGTTTCTCAAAAAAATTTTAATCTCGGGGTCCTTTTTACCCCATAGGCGAGGTAAATAGAGACGGCCAAGAGGGCAAACAGGTCTAATATCTTATTTTAATTTTAAAGGAGTTTACAAAATAGTAGCTACAATATTCAACCAATGCATAGTATATATTTTATGGCTACATTTTTACAGAGTTAAAACACTCTGTAAATAACCTTGATCTGGTATTTGGTCAGAAATATTTATTACTAGAGTTGGAATAACTATTCATTCAAATTATCTCTTGTAAAATTGTTTTTTTTTACTTAATTTACTCTTTTATTTACTATTTTTTATTTTTTTACACACTCTGTAAATAACTTTGATCTGGTATTTGGCTTAGAAATATTTTATCACTCGAGTTGGTATAACTATTTATTCAAATTATCTCTTGTGAAATTGCTTTTTTTTATTTGCTATTTTTTTATTTTTTTACACCTTATTATTATTTAAAGACTCAAAGTATTTTTTGTTGTTTTTCTCAATGACTGTGAATTATATTTAATTTGTATTCCGTTAATAATATATATATATATATATGTATGTACTACTATTTATACATCAGTTGTAAAAATATTTTTTTATGTTTAAATATGTTGGTATCAAATTTTTTGACTTCATCAAATTAATTGGATCATTTTTTTATCAATTTAAATGCTTATATTATATTATGAATTCTTCTAAAATTTTAATGTTTATTCATAATTTTCATAAAACTCTAAATTCGAGTATCCCTTACAATTAGCTCAAGATATCTAAAAACTCAAAAAATCCTAGAAATCTCAAAAAATATAGAAATTAAATATTTATAGCTTTACTTAAGAAAGCTATTTTTTTATTTTTTAAATATTTTTTTTTGTTATTATATTTATAAAAAATTAAAGTTACTGGATCTATTATAAATCTTCACTAGTTGTGAAAATATATTATTACCATATTAACAAAAATATAAATTTATATAAGAAAGATTATAATTCTATAATAAATCTAACCGTTCCTCAGTTTATTTTGAAGTCAAATGCCCAAATCGAAATTCTTGCTTTAGATATATAAGTATCCGAAAAGTCGCTGTATTATATATAAATATAAATAATGTTATAAAATATATAGAAATTAAATATGTATGGCTTCATAGTAAAAGTTCTAAGATTTTAAAAATTCTTAGAATTTTTTGGTTCTATTATAAATCTATACTAATTCTGAATCGTCATTGTACAATTATATATTTTAATAAGCATATATATAATTATATATTAGTTCTGAATTTGAAGTAACTAATAATGGTACTGAAATAATAATTTTATAATTAATCTAACCGAGCCGCAGTTAATTATTGATTTTGATCATAAAATTAAATAACCCATATGTATGGCTCATTGAATAAGACTGCCACTACCGAGAAGAGAACAAATAAAAAATAAGCCATAAAAAATGCAATAAATCTTTAGTATTTACACAGCGGATAGGGGTGAATCATTTTACGTTTCCGAAAGTCAACCCCTTTCCCATTTATGAAAACCCGTCATTCGTTTCGACCTAAAAAATTAATGTTATGAAAAAATGTCGATATATTGAAACTCTTTGTATATTTTCGAATAAAACATATACACGCTTATTTTCCACGTATTTCACCGATAAATCAACGATTTGCGAAACATTATTTGGCAAATCGAATCAACGATCGCATTTGCAGAATCAGGGCCAAAAATCGGAAGAGTTGTGCAAACAGATGGTGTCATGTATGGCTCATTTTCAACGGGTTAAGGAAAATTACATGAAATTATATATCGAGCAAAAGTAATAAAACATATAGATCAACGTGTTGTGTTTAATTGATTAGATTTTTTATCTAATGCCCCCAGAAGGCTAGTTTACTTACTATTTTTAACTTAAATATAAAATCTCAAGTGATTTCTGATTGCTAACTGCTTGATATCAAGTTGGTCGAAGTGGGCTCTTGAACCTGAAAGTTCTTGCTGCACCACACGTTATCTTCCTACCTATCAATTATCTATCTAAAGAATTTTTTATTAGATTTATTTAGATATACATTGCAGAAATGCCCACGAAAGACCATTTTCACTTACCATATTTAACTTAAATATATAATTTCAAATTCATATTGTGTTTGCTTGATATCAAGCTGGCCGAGGTGGATCTATTTAACCTCAAAGTTTTTGCTAGACCTATCTACCTGCCTGTCAATTATCTCTCTGAATAGATTTTATATTAGATTCATTATCTAATACTAATGAGACATACATTATAGAAATGACCCAAAAGGCTATTTTTACTTGCCATATTCAACTTAAATATATAATATCAAGTGAATTTCTTATATAATAACTGCTTGATATCAAGCTGCTGAGAAGGAGCTATTGAACCTTAAAGTTTGCGCTCGACCACGTTTCTGGCGACAACTAGATCTAAATACACGTTATGAAAAAAGTAAATACTTAAAGAAAATATTATAAATGTGTAGAATTTTTTTGTACTGTTGCTAAGAAAGCTGAACTTTAAAATAACTGATTAATAAAATAATATTCTCTTGTGCTCAAAATAAGAGTATATCATTAGCAAACAAGAGTCATTAATAAAATTTCCAAAACTTAGTGGCTAATTCTCGTATAAAATAGAAATGTTATGGTAATGCTATGTTACGAGTCTATAATTGTTATGATTTTGCTGTGCGATTAACTTCAAAAAAAACTTTAACTTTACTCTAAAAATTTAACTTCACGTATGTGTTATCAAAGAGACATCACAAAGTTGCACTTATGATAACATTGTTATTTAGCAATTGTTGATTTTGAAGGTTAGGTTTTATGTGCTAAACGCCTGATCGCTTAGCAAATACATAGCATTTTGACCAAATCATACGTTTATAAACCCTTAACATAGCATCACCTGAACATTACTATTTTATCCTCGAATTTGCCCCTGAATTTTTCCTCTTTTAAATTCTATCCTTAATTGCGCTTGGCATATATAAATTATTCGTTTGCAATTTTAATTACAATAAGATTTATGAAGCTAAAATCGAAATCAAAATATATGTCGTGTGCTCATTTATGCACCCTAGATTTTAGTCGTCGACTAACGTCCACTGACTTCATAGAAACCTTTTATCACCCCCGTGCCGGCGTCCAATCAGATTCTATGAGGGTGACTATGGGCGGTTCCTCCCTCATATCAAATAGTGATCGTTCACTGCATCATAAAATCAGTACGGTAACAATCTTTGATACGAGCAGTGACTAAGTGAAATTTTTATTCTATAACAAAATTGCAAAAAATAACTGAAGTGTCTTGGGGTGTTTTGTTTACGTGATCGATCATTATATGTTCTGC